AAGAGACCTCATGGCCATCCAGTTCAACCCCCTGCCAAGAAGCAGGAATATTGCATTCAAAGTACTCCCGACAGATGGCCATCCAGTCTCTGTTTAAAGGCCTACAAAGAAGGAGCTTCCACCACATTCTGGAGCAGAAAGTTCAACTGCTGAATAGCTCTCACAGCCAAGAAGATCTTCCTAATGTTCAAGTGGAATCTCCTTTCCTATAGTTTGAAGCTATTGTTCCACTACAGAGAAAGACCAAAGGATGGGATTCTAAGGCCCTTTCCACACAACTGTATAAAATCCACATTGCACTGGATTATAAATCAGTGTGGACTCAGGGCCCTTCCACACAGCCCTATATCCCAGAATATCAAGGCAGAAAATCCCACAATATCTGCTTTGAACTGGGTTATCTGAGTCCACACTCAGATGATGTGGGATTATCTGCCTTGATATTCTGGGATATAGGGCTGTGTGGAAGGGCCCTTAGATAACCCAGTTTAAAACAGATGTTATGGATTCTCTGCCTTGATATTCTGGGTTATATGACTGTGTGGAAGTGTCGTAAGAGTTGCAGTCCAAAAGCAACTTTTCCAGTCTCCCCACTGTCCATAATCTACCATTTTAAAGATGATTGTCAGTATACCAGGGAATATTTCAGCAAAATAATAAAATTCTTTTTTTTTTTTGTGAATTACTTGGTCATAACTAAACTAATAAGGAGCCAGATGTGCTGGTTTGGGTCATATTTGTGTTGAATAAACTAAATGCTAACAAGACTTAGGGATAGCACTAGTTACATACTTCCAACACTTGAAGACTGTTATTCTAGCACACAGAAGGATTAAGGAAGAGGAAGAACAAACAACAACAAAACCACCTAATACCTTCTTTATAAAACCATGCAAATTATCAAAGCATTGAGAAAACTTTAATGTTTCCATAAAAATCTACTTGGATTTGAAAAAGGAAAGAAGGCAGAAAAATCTGGGTATGATAAGAAATTCCAGTGGTCTACAGCTAATAAGAATTTTATATTGAGACTCAAGTAATCCTACAATGAAAGAGAAGGGATGAGGAACAAACAAATGACCTTCAGATTATTACTATTATTTACCACATTTATATCCTGCCCTTCTCAACCCCGAAGGGGACACAGGGCAGCCTTACAAAGGCAACCATTCAATGCCATATATTAATACATCGGTAAATAAACAAAAATGTTAAAACCAAACCCATTAGAAACATAGTATTAAAACATTAATTGAAATCATGTGTTTCAAATTGTATTCCAAGGCCGGTCCAAGTCGTCATTCTATTACTTTGTAGTCTCATATTGCACTACTTCCATTATTGGCCATAAGGCTGATCCCAGAGCTATGTTTTCAGTTTTTTCCTGAAGGTCAGGAAGGATGGAGTAGATCTAATTTCACTGGTGTGGGAGTTCCACAGGCAAGGGGCCACCACTGAGAAGGCTCTGTCACTCATTCCCACCACTTGCAAGTGGGGGTGGGACTTAGAGTAGGGCCTCCCCCGACAATCTTGACCTTTGAGGTGAGTCATAGAGGGAGATACGTTCGAACAGGTAAGCTGGGTTGGAACTGTTTAGGGCTTTATAGGCTAAAGCCGGCACTTTGAATTGTGCTCGGAAGCAGACTGGTATTTAGTACAGATATTACTGTACTAAAAACTCCATTGTCCAGATCTTAACTATACTGGCTAGGGTGGGTGGGAATTGCAGTCCAGGAATACCTGGAAGGCCACACATTCAGGGTAAAAGTCATATCCAAACAGTGTTGATTGATGGAAGTGTTGCCAATCTCATGAAAAATCTCAAGGAAAACTTCCTGCCTTGATCTCACCCACCCTCCTGGCACACATGCACATTTATTTCCATTCTGAATGTAATACTGACACACATTCCTCATCACACCTAATGCATTAAGCACAACTTAAATAGATCAAAGAATCTGGGTGCATATAGTTGACATACCCAGCCCACAAGATACTGTTCATGATTAGCTCCCATACATTCCCATGGGATTGGGGAAAAAATTCCCAGTGAACAGAAATCCTTTTTGCCTAGCCAATATTATTATTTGACTGCCTACATAATCTCAAATTATTATTATTTGCAACCACAGAATCTCCCTGCAAAGGTATGTGCTATCTTTAAAGAACTATTCACCTATTAATGTGATGTTACTTCTAATATGTTAAAAACATAACTGACAGAAACAATGGGTTTCGTTCCTTTTCAGAGTGGTACAATCCAGTTTTATTTGTGTACGCCTTGTCTTAAGAGATGGCCAAGATTCAAGATTGTCGACCAAGCAGCTTTTGAAGCACTACTTCCATTGTCCAAGGGCGTATCTACACTGTAGAACAAATCCAGTCTGACCCCACTTTAACTGACATGGCCCATTGTTATGGATTCCTGGGAGTTGTAGTTTGGACAGGCACCAGGACTTTTGGAGCAAGAAGGCCAAAACTACAGCTCTCATGATTTCATAACATTAAGACATAGGCAAATAAAGTGGTGTCAAACTGCATTAATCCTACAGTGTAGAGCAAGAAACACACTCTACATATGCCCAGCTCAGGGATCCTTTAGAATTCTAGGTCCCGGTGTTGTCCAACTGTCTTGCAGAGAAAGGCCCCATTTTCTGATGCAGAGACTTAAAATTGTTTGGAGGTTATTAAACTAAGGTTGAGGGCTAACGCCTTAGCAGTGGCAAGGAGGCTAGACTAGATGGCCTTTGGGGATCCCTTCCAGTTCTATTAAATATACACATATACAGAAAAAAAACCAATTACAATTAAAACCAAACAATTAAAACATCAACTATTAAAACATCAATATCCAAATCATAATCCAGGGCCATTCCATTTGTCAATCACATTGATTTGTGGTCACTTATTGCACAGTTCAAATTACTTGTCAAAAGCTTGGTCCCAAAGCCACGTCTTAAGTTTTTTCCTGAAGGTCAGGAGAGAAGGGGCTGATCTGATTTCATTGGGGAGGGAATTCCATAGACGGGCCACCACTGAGAAGGCCTTGTCTCTCATCCCCACCAGTCACACTTACAAAAGAGGTGGGACTGAGAGCAGGACCTCCCTGGACGATTTTAACCTCTGAGATGGTTCATAGATGGAGATACATTTGAACAGGTAAGCTGGGCTGGAACCATTTAGGGCCTTCTCAAACTAAAGCCAATTAACTATAGGTAGGCCAATGGTGCATCTACACTGGATAAGTAATGAGGTTCAACACCACTTGAACTCCCATTGATAGCAGTGTGCTATTACAGTGAAAATGGCAGCAAACTGCATTAATTCTACAGCGTAGATGCATCTCAGGTCCAGGCATTGTCTGATCACCTTTCAGAGAAAGGCCTCTGAAAGATGAACCTGCTAAGAATGTAGCAGACAGTGGCCTAAAATTGGTTGGAGGTTATCATATCAAGGTTGGCTGCCTACCTACATCTTAACAGTGGCAGGGAGGTTGGGCTAGATGGAGGAGGGGAGAGCTCCCATCCAGCTCTATGAAATTAAACCTAATTGTCTGATGGGGGCATTCAAGGGTTCCCTATTACATCAAGGTTGGGTGCCTACATCTTTCGCAGTGGCAGGGAGTCAGACCTTCGGGGAACCTTCCTAGCTGCTTTGAGTCTCCTTATGAAAAAGCGGGAAACAAATAAACATAATAATAACGTAATAATAGTTGGATGAAATTGCCTATGGAGTTGGGGGAGTGAAGGTTCCCTTTTGCAATTGCTGGCTGGTAGGCCAATGCAAAATTGCCAATGGCGACTACACACCTTCCCTTTCTTATTCCCTCCTTCCTTCCCTCCCTCCCTCTAATCCCTTTTCCTACTGCTGGGCTAATATTTACCCTCCTATGCCTTTGGTCTCTCTTTCTCTATCCTTTACCCTTCCTCCCTCCCTCTCTCTCTTTCTATATACATACAGACACACACACGTGTGTGTGTGTGTGTGTGTGTGTGTGTTTGGGGGGAAGAGGGAGAGAGCGAGAAAGGGAGAGAGGAAGATATAGATAAACACAGATATCAGCCTCTCCTTTCTCTCTCTCTCTCAATCCTTATCTATCTAACTATATGGGGGGTTGAGAGAGAGAGAGGACGGGAGAGAGGAAGGGATAGATAGGCATATAATAATAATAATAATAATAATAATTATTATTATTATTATTATTATTATTATTATTTAGGCAAATATCAGTATCTCTCTCTCCCCCCCCCTCTCTCCCTTCCTTTCTCTCTCTCTCTCACACACACAATCCATCTCTCTGTCTCTCTCTATCTCTATCTCTCTCTCTACACACACACACACACATATTGGGGGGATTGAGAGAGAGAGAAAGGAAGGGAGAGAGGAAGGGATAGATAGACATATAGGCAAATATCGGTATCTCTCTTTTTCTCTCTCTCTTTTTCTCTCCCTCCCTCTCTCTCTCTATATATATAAACACACACACACACACACACACACATATATATATTGGGGGGATTGAGAGAGAGAAAGGAAAGGAGAGAGGAAGGGATAGACAGGCAAATATCAGTATCCCTCTCTTTCTCTCTCTAGATCCATATCTATCTATCTTTATCTATGGGGGGATTGAGAGGGGGGGGGGAAGAAAGGATAGAGAGGGAGGGAGGGAGATACCAGTCTGTGTGTAGATATCAGTATGTCTTTCTTTCTCCTTCCCTCTCTCTCCCTTCTCTGTCTCAATCCCTATTTATTTATTTATCTATCTATATGGGGGGATTGAGAGGGGGGGGAGGAAGGGATAGAGAGAGAGAGAGAGAGAGAGAGAGAGATACCGGTCTGTGGGTGTAGATATCAGTATCTCTCTCTTTCTCCTTTTCTCTCTCTCTCTCACACACACAATCCCTATCTATCTATCTGGGGAGATTGTGAGAGAGTGAGAAAGGGAGGGGAGAGAAACAGAGAGAGCGAGAGAGCAGTCCCGGTGTGCCTTTCTCTCTCACCTGATGGCCAGGAGCTCGTGGAGCAGGTAGGCGGCGGCGGCGAGGAGGGCTCCCCCGGTGAGGTAGAGGGTCCTCTTCCACCAGGAGTCGGGCCCCAATCCCGCCATGATCCCGCCGTAGTCCTGCAGAGGGAAGGCCACCAGCTCCCCATAAAAGGAGAAGTGCTCCTCCGAGCCGCCGCCGCCGGCCCCGCCGGCCCCTCCGCCGCCCCGCCAGAGGCTCTGGTTGCGGCTGAGGTCCACCACGCAGGAGCGCGAGGAGGCGATGCCCACTCCCCAGGGCATGCTGCTGCTGCGGCGGCGGGGCGGAAGAGAGGGGCTCCCCCTGGGCCTGGGCCTCAGCAGGGGCGGGGCCCGGAAGGAGCCCGGAGAGGGCTCTGCAGCACCAGCCCCAGCCCCAGCCCCAGCAGCAGCAGCAGCAGCATCCCCTTCTGCATCCTCGGCAGCATCCTCTTTCTCCCCATCGCCGGCGGTCCTTGGCTTTGTGTCTCCGCCGGTGATGTCATGGCTCGCCTCGGAAACACCCGCCACGCCGACACGCGTGGCCACGCTCCCACGCACACGCCAGGCCTACGGACACGCAAGGAGGGGGGAAGGGGGGATACCCGGGAAGGTCATTCGCCAAGGAGCGCTCTATGGGCGCCATTGGCTCGTGTGGACTCGCCTTCTCTCCCCCTGCAGCCTTCGTGGCAATAGCCCCGTCCACGTCACGTGGGGAAGGAGTCAGGTAGCCTCTTCCTCTGGTCCGCAGAGCAATGCTTTGTGATCAAGGTGGCTTTTTGTTGTTGTTTATGGTGTTCTAAGGCCCCTTCCACACAGCTGGAAGGGGCCCCACATTATCTGCTTTGGACTGGAATATATGACACTGTGGACTCAGATAACCCAAATCAAAGCAGATATAGTGGGATTTTCTGCCTTGATATTCTGGATTATATGGCTGTGGGCCCTTCCACACAGTCCTATATCCCAGAATATCAAGGCAGAAAATCCCACAATATCTGCTTTGAACTGGGTTATCTGAGTCCACATTCAGAGAATGTGGGATTTTCTGCCCTGATATTCTGGGATATAGGCTGTGTGGAAGGGCCCTAGACTGTAAAATGAATGCAATTTGACCCCCTCTTAAACTGCCATGGCTCCATATTAAGGATTTCTGATAGTTGTAGTGTGTGGCTACTCTCTTTAGGATACCATCCATGCTGCAGGGTTACACTATGGGACACAATTTTGTTCCTGGGTCATCAAAGTCATTTCCTAATTAGTTATATCATGAAAACATGGAAAAGGTGTATTAAGAGTTAAAAACCTGGTTCACGGAGGACATCCTGCAGCACATTTTACTACAGTCTTTCAGTGACTATTTCCAGTCTCAACCAATTCCACATAGTTTGTGGCAGCCACAAAAACAAAAGTTTCTCGAGTCAAGCAATGATTTTCAAAGTGAGTTCCAGACAGTTAAACAGGAAATAATACTTTCAAACCAGGAACAGATTTCCCCCCCCCCCCTCAAATTTTGTTACACAGTGTTAAAGAGTCAGACACCACTTTAGCAGCCATGGCTCAATGGTATGGACTCCTGGGAGTTGGAGTTTGACAAAGTCCTGAGCCTTCTCTGCCTCACCAAATGATAGCTCTCAGGATGCTATAGCAACAAGCCACGACAATTAAAGTGGTGTCAAACTGCATTAGTTTTACAGTCAAGATACACCTTTATTTACAGTAGAGTCTCACTTATCCAACATAAACGGGCCAGCAGAACATTGGATAAGTGAAAATGTTGGATAAAAAGGAGGGATTAAGAAAAAGCCTATTAAACGTCAAATTACATTATCATTTTACAATTTAAGCACCAAAACATCATGTTTTACAACAAATTGACAGAAAAAGCAGTTCAATAAAATTATGTAGTAATTACTGTATTTACGAATTTAGCACCAAAACATTGCAATGTAATGCAACAGCTGTGGATCCAGGCAGGAGGCAGACTGTTGAATAATACAGAACATTGGATGAGCAAAGGTTGGATAAGCGAGACTCTACTGTATTTCCTTTCAAGCTTGCAGTCACACTGCAGGATTGTAGCAATTTGACATAATTGTTTTGTGAGATGTTTGTTAGAGCACCAGAGCAGTCTGACCCTTCTCCGTCAGCAAACTACAAATCCCAGGATTGCACTTTACTTTCCAAATAATGGTTTAATTAATGATTGATTAGGAATAGGCCTTCCTGGTGGCACAGCAAGTTAAACCGCTGAGCTGCTGAACTTGCTGACTGAAAGGTTGTTGGTTAGAATCCAGGGAATGGAGTGAGCTTCCACTGTTAGCCCCAGCTTCTGCCAACCTAGCAATTCAAAAACATGCAAATGTGAGTAGATCAATAGGTACTGCTTCTATGGGAAGGTAATGGTGTTCCATACAGTCATGCTGGCCACATGACCTTGGAGGTGTCTACAGACAACGGCAGCGCTTTGGCTTAGAAATTGAGATGAGCACCACCCTCGACTCGGACATGACTTAATGTCAGGGAAGCCTACCTTTATTTAGGATTGTTATGTGCCTTCAAGTTCTTTCAGACTTAGATCAACCCTATCACCGAGTTTTCTTGGTAAGATTATAGCTTTTATTTGGAAGCAAATCTGGGGGCTTCAGGTCCATAAAATAAACCACCTGAAGATGGGAGTAAACCATGGATCTGAGGGTGGCAGCAGCACTGTGCTTTTGCTGCTTCATCCCTTTGCAGGCCGCACCAGCTCCTTGTGCAGGTTGCATCCATCCCCTGGGTTGCATCTTGTGCAGATGCAGGCCTGATCTAGGTTCTTTTCATTCTGGTTTCAAGCCAGGTTATAGGTCAGATATTGCGTTGGTCACCTTGGTGGACCTTTTAGCTGATTTCGGTACTATCAATCATGTTAAGCTTCTGGGCTACATCAGCAAGCTGGTACTTGGGGCAATACTATTTTATGGTGGTTCCAGTACTTCCTGGAGAGGCGGGTTCAGGGGCTAAAGTGCTCCAGCTAAAGTCTAGACACTAGTCTACAGGAACATCAATGCTCTGTTTAGTATCCTCTGTTATGTAGTGTGTATATGAAACTACCAGGAGAGTGGAGTTTCGGGATTTGGTGCCACCTGTATACAGCCAATGAAGAACCCTATTTCCTCTTTCTGTCTAAATACAGGCAAGGTGTCTTTGGGTCTAAGCTAATGCTTAGATGAGGAAAAAGAGGTAAAAGTTGAAATTAGACAAGACAAGACAGAAATTCTCTTGAACAGCCAAATGGCAGAACATGGATTTTGCTTGTGGCAACCGAGCATGCACATCCCCCAAAGACAAAAGTTCTCAGTTTGGATATAATCACAGATTCAGGCCTCAGAGTACATAGATTTCAGTAGGAGGCGGGGTGTGTTTGTATACTCAAAACTAGTGCACTGTCTGCACCCATTCTTGAACTTGTCTGATCTGTCTATAGTGATACCTGTGCCCTTGTGTATTCCTATAACATGCCTTGGATGGGACTGTCTTTGAAGTGTTTAAAAACATCAGCAGATCCAAAATGCAGTCACCAGATGTTGAATAGAGTCAGCGAAAGAGAGAACAAAGCTTCCCTTGTTACGATAAATACGCTGGCTACCAGTCTGTTTCCAGACATAATTAAGTGTTTGTTGCAACTTACCAAGGCCTACATAACCCAGGACAATATCTCCACCTTCATAAGTTTGCCTAAGTTTAAGACCTCCAGGGCAGGTCTTCTTCTCAGTCCCAAAATTCAATTAAGAAACACAATTGAGGGAACATGAGATAACTCCTTTTAAGGCATGGATAAATGTCAACCCTCCAGGTGTTTTGGACTTCAATTCCCAGAAATCCCAGGCAGCCTATTGGCTGTTATGAATTGTGGGAGTTGAAGTTCAAAACACCCGGAGGGCCGGAGTTTGTCCATGCCTGAATTACATTTACTTTACTTTAACAGCCTTGCCTCCATCTCATGAAATCATGGGCTTTGAAGTTGAGGGGAAATTATTCAGAATGCTTAAGCAGAGTCTTGCCAAACTACAAAACTCAGGATCCCACAGAATAAAATCATAGTCATGAAAGTGGAATAATAGTAATATAATTATGTAGTGTGACTGGACCCGAGGAAGTTATGTGGGCCTGCTCTATCCAATTAGCAAGCAAACTTCTTTTTACTAATCAGGTTTTGGCACTTAATAGATTGCAAAGGAAGGTGACCGGGGGGGGGGGGTACTGTGCTTTTCTCTTTCTCTACATTACTTTGATTTAAGTACCATACAAAGAACTGTCAGATATGAAAAATACCTGCCTGTTACCTGATTTTCAATTAGGAAAATGTGTAAGCCTGCTTAAATAAAAAGAGAGAAGGAAAAAGTAGTCTTATGGCACTTCTAAGACTAACTAAATGGTTTCAATATAAGCTTTCATACCCCACTTCTTCATATACTTGTACAGATGAAGAAGTGGGCTATAGCCCCCCAAAACTCACACCAGAATAAATTAGTTGGTAGGGCAGCGCAGCAGGTTAATCCGCTGAGCTGCTGAACTTGTTGACTGAAAGGTTGGCAGTTCGAATCCGGGGAGAAGGGTGAGCTCCCACTGTTAGCCCCAGCTTCTGCCAACCTAGCAGTTTGAAAATACGCAAATGTGAGTAGATTAATAGGTACCACTTCTGTGGGAAGGTAATGGTGCTCCATGCAGTCATTCCAGCCACATGTCCTTGGAGGCGTCTACAGACAATGCCAGCTCTTAGGCTTAGAAATGGAGAGGAGCACTACCCCTCAGAGTTGGACACGACTAGACTTAATGTCAGGGGAAATCTTTACCTTTACCATTAGGGTGTCATGAGAGTCCTCTTTTCAATGTTGTCAGAAATGCGATTCACATGATAGCATTTGTTTCTTGTTCTGTCTTTCCATAAAGGAAGGATTTGTCAACCAGTCTTTCAGAAATAGCCTTTACAGACAACTGAGCCTTATTATTTTAGAATATCAGAATTCAAACTCAAGTTTAATTAAGTATTAAAATAACTTGTGTGTTTAAAGCAGGCAAGCTGCCGAATCTGAACAAGAAAAGGAATTCAGTGATTTTAGAAATACATGAAAATCCAAACTTTTCCCAATAACATGCACACAACACCCAATCTTTAGACATCCACCTGACTTCTTGTTCAAGATGTGTCATCTTTCAGAGCTTTGTGCCTCTAAGACTGCGAAGAATGACAAATTCTTATACCACAAGACTGAGTTTAACAGACACATTAAACACCAGTCTGCTTCTTCCTTACTGGTTCATTATGAAAACACCTTCCAGACTCATTCTGCAAGCCTGACTTCATGTTTTAACCAGCTGTTCTGATAGTAGCTTCTGTTTAGGGCTCTTCTTTCTCCACATCCTGAGATGCTTCATGTGGATCCAAGTGTTCTTGCGTACTTGATTTCACAGCATGAAGTGCATAGTTGATGCTAGTGTTTTCAATCCAGCTCCAAGACCCAAAGAGGGGGTTGTATAACATGCCTCTCACTGTCTTGACCGAAAAGCCATCTATAAGAGAAGATTGATGACAGATCACCATTTATGAAAAAGGAAATCATGTGGAGGGTATAAAAAGGACACATAAATGCATATTCAGAACATCACAAAGGATCATGAAGCCCTGGATAGAAAGCTGAAAAACCTTGAATATAAAGTTTAACAGGGAGAAATGCAACATAACATACTATACTTAGGCAAAAAAGGAAGGAAGGGAGGGAGGGAGGGAGGGAGGGAGGAAGGCACAAATATAGGATGTGTGACACCTGGCTTGAAAACAGTACATGGGTGGGAGTGGGGGGAAAAACCAATAAAACAATTAAAAAGAAAGAAAGAAAACAGTACATGTGAAAAGGATCTAGGACTTTTAGTAGATCACAAGCTGAACATGAGTCAGCAGTGTGATACGGCAGCTAAAAAAACCAAAGCAGTTCTAGGTTGTATCAAAGGAGTATAGCATCTAGATCAGTGGTTCTCAAACTTCCTAATGCCACAACCTCTTAGTACAGTTCCTCATGTTATGGTAACCCCGAACCACATTATTTTCGTTGCTACTTCATAACTGTATTTTTTCTACTGTTAAGAATTGTAATGTAAATATCTGATATGTAGGATGTATTTTCATTCACTGGACCAAATTTGGCAAAAACACCCAATACGCCCAAATTTGAATACTGATAGGGTTGTGGGGATGATTGATTCTCTCATTTGGGAGTTGTAGTTGCTGGGATTTATAGTTCACCTACAACAAAGAGCATTCTGAACTCCACCAACAATGGAACTGAACCAAACTTGGCACACAGAACTCCTACGACCAACAGAAAATACTGGAAGGGTTTGGTGGGCATTGACCTTGATGTCAAATTGTTCTGATGCCTCTTCCACAATATCCTCCAGCGCACAGGATTTGTACTGTATTCTCTTTGCCAGGTCTGGAGCACTGTGGACTCAAACAATGATGGATCTGGAGTAAACTTGGCCCAAATACTCAATATGCCCAAACACGAAGACTGATGGAGTTTGAGGAAAATAGATCTTGACATTTGGAAGTTGTAGTTGCAGGGATTTATAGTTCACCTACAATCAAAGAGCATTCGGAACCCCACCAATGATAGAATTGGGCCAACTTCCCACATAGAACCCACATGCCTTGAAGGGACTTGCTAGTATGAGCCTCCCTCCAGCCTCGTATGTTCTCCCTCACCTGCACATGTGCACCATGCTACCATGCGCCAAGCACACCTGCTTTCTCCTCCCCACTTTGAATCTCAGAAACAGCCCTCCCCTTGGCTGACAGGCCGGCCAATCATAGCAGGAGGAGGGCTTTTTGTGGGATGATTTGCCATCTGTTTCCAAAAAGGAAGAGAAGGACAGACGGAGAGCTCTTCAGCCTTCTTGGCCAAAGGGGTTCTTAAGACTATCAGAAATATATGTTTTCTGGTGGTCTTTGGCAACCCCTCTGAAACCCCCTCGCAACCTCCCAGGCGTTCCGATCACCAGGTTGAGAAATGTTGATCTAGATCAAGGAAAGTAATAAAACCACCCTATTCGGCTTTGATGAAACCTCGCTAGGAATGCTGTGTCCAGTTCTGACCATCACAATTCAAGAAGGATATTAAAAAAGCAAGAACAAGTCCAGAGAAGGAGGACCCAAATGTTTAAACGTGTCCTATAAGGAGTGGTTTTTAAAATAGGAAGGGGTTGGATTAGATGATCCTGTTCCAACTCTATTATTCAATAAATCCTTGGGTTAATTGTTTAGGGGAAAATATTTAGAATTTTCAGCCAGGGAGCCCACAACAAAATACAAATACCAAATCCCATAGAATGCAACTGCACCAAATAAAATTGAATCATAGTGCTATCATTGTGTAGAGTGAAAACATCACTTCTGGCCACCAGAATGGCTGCTGAAAGGAGGTGAAAATACTCCTCTGACCCCTAGACCATACCCAGCCTTGCAATGAGACGAGATTGCAGAAAACTCTGTGTTGTCTATTTAGGGGACAAAATGAAAAACTGTTCATGCGGAGTGGTACAAAAATGGGAGATATGGTTCTGCACAATTTAACAAAAAATGTATCTATGATATAAACACAACTTTCAAAATAATTACAAAAATAGAATTAATTTGATCCTAAACAAGAGCTGACGCTAATAGAACATAATCAGAACACTTCAGTTGAAGTCAGTTCACAAACAGACATTCGGTTCCTGCCTCATTATTATTATTTCCTAACCAAGGATTACTGTTTGGTTTCTCCTTCTCAAGATAATCAACATTATGGAACAAGGGGAGCAATCTGTATACACCAGCCTGCCCTAATTTTCTGTGTTGGATTCCACTTTCTGCCATCCCAAACCAGCAAGGGAATAAATCTAGAAAACATTGAGTTGGAGAAAGTTGACATACAGTCCCAATTTATCATTTTGTAAAGCTCTCTGATTCTGCTGTGCTTTCTCTATGCCACAATCTGTACTACAAAACACCAGGGTCAATTGGCAACCATTTATTTTGTTAAGTCACCCATTGGAAATTGCTACTTACTTGATTCCAAAAGCCGCTCTAGTTCTTCAGGTGCGATGAATTTCTCCCATTCATGGGTGCCTACTGGAACGATGCCCAGAACCCTCTCAGCAACCACAATGGCAAAAATATAGGACAACTGGGTTTTGTTGATTGTAGTAATAAATAGAGAGCCTTCAGGCTAATTTTGGGGAAAGAAACGTGAAAAGTTGGATCATGAATTAGTTGTTTATCCAAAATACACTGAACAGCAGTTTTTATGCCAGTTACAGCAGTGAAAAAAATGGAAGAAAATGTTAGAGGGCATACAGCTTCCATCGGGTCTATGGGGAACAAGGACTACTAGATCCACCCAAGTTATCCGCTGTTGCTTTAAGAGAAAATGTTAAAATTATAATTGTAGTTACTGAATATTAAACAATCTTAATAGCACTAGTACACATTTAAATTGACTAAATTTGCATACAAATAATTTTTTCAAATGTTACATAACACACCAACTTAAAAAGGATGGGGACAAACAAAACTGCACCCATCATTCACAAGTTTTTTTTTAATTAAACTAATGAACTATTTTTAAAAGGCTTCAGGCCGAGTACAATGAGAGCCATCTTCCCAACTGGGAAAAAAGATCATTAAACTGCCTCCTAGTCTCTAGGAGGAAACGTTACTGAGCCTAATAATACTTCTGAATATATATGGAATATATATATGGATAAGACTGTGCTGTCGACAAAGCAAACTTAGCAACTGAACATTATAGTCATAATTCAGTATTATCTGCATGGGTCGGACCAAAATCACCTCTAAGAAACATTTCATAAGGGTACACATGTGCTCTATGTTTAGGAACACTAAAAATCCAAGAATGAAGAGAATGAGGAGGACAAGAAGGAGATGCACATGAAGAAGGGGGTTCTTTTCCTTAAAATTACTGAACTCACTTTTAACACTTCACCACAACACTTGATGAATGTTTCCACATCAGCCACATGTTCCACTACTTCGGAGGCAACAACTATGTCAAATTGTTCTGATGCCTCTTCCACAATATCCTCCAGCGCACAGGATTTGTACTGTATTCTCTTTGCCAGGTCTGGATCAAACGCTGTATGTACTTCTGCTGTTCTAATGTTGTCTTCCAGGGGATCAATTCCAGTAACTGAAGCTCCAAGTCTGCCTAGAGGCTATAATAAATACATATGTTATTCTCTGCTATAGAAAATGGTTCCTAATCAGCTGAAAAGTTATGTAAGTAAGATGGGGAATTATATTGTTGTGTCACAGCACACCAATATTACTTAAACCCTGCTGATAGAGCACTAGGAAGAAAAGAGTAGGGTTTGTCACTATATGTATCTACTTGTTTTTCCCCCTGCAGAATATTACTCTGTCTCATTGCATATAACAGGGCGGAAACATTCAGACCAGGGACCTTTTCACACTACACAAATGTAGCATTATATTCGACTTCAACTGTCACTGCTATGTCTCATAGAACAATGACATTTGAAGTTTGATGAGGCATTAGAATTGCCAACAAAAAAGTCCAAAGGTTGTACCTTCAATTGCAAATTCACGGGACATTGCCATGCAATTGAAATGGAATCTAGAGGCATAATAATGGTGTGTAAACAGGCCTCTGCTCTCAAGTTGGTCTAAATCTTACTCCTTATTAGCAGCATAGGGGTTGTCTACTTCGGCAAAATAATCCAGCTGCAATTCAGAGTCCAGGCAGTTCCCCAAGTTACAAACAAGATGTGTTCTGTAGGTTTGTGCTTAAGTTGAACTTGTATGTAAGTGGGAACAGGTAAATTTTTAAGTGTAACTCCACCCAAAAATACCTATTTGTTCAGCTTTGGATAGCATAGGCAAGGGGTAACACCCCAGTGGAGTTCATTTTACTGTCTGTGTTCAGATTTTGCTGTCTGTGTTCGCCCCTGTTCAGATTATTTCACCTCACTTTCTGTCTCTATGATAATTGGATTTTGAAAAAAATTGGCTTGTTGTGGAAACAAGGATTGGAGCGAAAACTTCTGTTGAGACACTTTTTCTACATTATAACTCTTTCAGAAGTGAATTTCCTTTCTTAGGGGTAGATTTCTCTCTTGCTGTTGTCTCATGCCTGTTCTTAACTATGAGTCAGTTGTAAGTCTGATGTTTGTAACTCTGGGACTGCCTGTATTGTGCCCCAAGTTCATCCCGTTCATGCCACACCTACTGTTAGGGAAAACTACCCAAAATACCCAGAAGCGACTTGAAGTTTCTCAATTAATTTCTGACATGAAAAAAAAACATAATATAGCAGAGCATCCAAAAACAAACAGGATACTAAAAGCTGAGCATTCAGCTCATGGCTTGCAGAATAGATGAAGTGCCATGTGATGTGGCTGTAAAGAATTTAGAACTTAGCACTGAAATTGGATTGAGCCACCCACTTCCCTGGCCAAAGTATATTTATCGAAGTGCACAAAGCTAAACAGACACAAGCATACTAGTCCAGCAGAAGGAAGAGGAACCAGGGGTTTGAAGCACATACAATTCAAAGCTTTCATGCTTCCTATAAATAAAGGTTATTAATCCAAATCACCCCACTCACTTCAGTAAGCAATCCACCACCACAACCAACGTCTAGGATCTTCATGCCAAAGAGAGGGCTTCCCAGGTGAGGGTCATTCCTCAAATTCAAAGCAGAATCTCTGACACAAAATGCAAAGCAAATAATTTTAATTAAAGAGTTTCAAAATAAGGGATGTATGGTGAATCAAATACATTTAAATACACTTGTGGAGCATCAAAATCTCAAAATCCCTGCCCCCCCCCGGTTAATACCCAAATCCACGATACTCTAGTCCCATCATATGCAATAGCACACTAATTCTGCCTCTTATATAAAATGGCAAACCAAGGTTTGCTTTTTGGGTTTTCTTTTCTGGAATATTTTCAAGACGTTGATGGTTGAATCCATGATTCAAAATCTGTGGATAAAGAGGACTGACTGTACATAAGAATAGATCAGTCAATTCAGTAGCACTGGCTTCCAAATCAACATGTAAAAAAGACTATATTGTTGCATTATTTAGTCCATCAGCAAAACATACAGTTTCAATTATCATAATGTTGAGCTCAATGAAAATTTAAGCTTAACAACAACATCCCAAAGTTGACAGTCCCTAATATTTCAGATTCCTGGCACAGGTTTTTAAAGCTTTGGCATATTTTAAAACCTTACCGAATAAAAGGCACTCTAATGTCATTCATAGAATGAAGGGCTGCATATTGTCCTCCTTCGTCCCACCATTTATGGGCCAAGACCTGGAATTTCTTCATCTCCTTTGGATCCACTGTTGATTGCCCAGTGCTGAATCGTTGTTTGGCAAATGACCTAAACACCAAACGTTTTATTAAATCAAGTGGTCAACAACACAACTAAGATCAACAAGTAAAGAATAATGTAGATGTGCAACCAAAAATTATTTTTTAAAATGGTATTTGGCAAAGCTCTAAACAATTTTCAGTACTTAGCTTCTTTCACACTATTCACACAATAGGTGTGTTTAAGTCTTAATAGGATGTGTGTTTACTTTCACATTAATTGTTGACTTACAGGAACTACAGCAGACTCTCAGTTAACTGGCAATCATAGGAATTGGTGGATACCGAATATATGTCATTTCTAGTTGTTTGAGAGTTACTATTAAAAATAGGCCTAACTAATACTATAGGTAAAGGTTAAGGTTTCCCCTTGACATTAAGTCTGGTTGTGTCTGACTCTGGGGTGGGTGGGTGGTCATCTCCATTTCTAAGCCGAAGAGCCAGTGTTGTCCATAGAAGCCTCCAAGATGTGGCCAGCATGACTGCATGGAGGATAGTTACCTTCCCGCTGCATGGAGGATAGTTACCTACCTATTGATTTACTCACATTTGCATGTTTTTGAACTGCTAGGTTGGCAGAAGCTGGGGCTTACAGCAGGAGCTCATCCTGCTCCCCATATTGGAACTGCCGACCTTTCGGTCAGCAAGTTCAGCAGCTAAGCAGTTTAACCCGCTGTGCTACCGGGGCTCCTAACGAATACTATACCATACCATAAACTTTACATTGACTTGATATTCATATGAAAATACAGTAATTAAAAGCAAGTAAAGACAAACTTGACTTGATGTAACACAATTTTATTCTATGATAAAAACAGCTTTGTGATGCAATATCAATTCTTCGATTATTTGTCAGTTGCTTGAGTTCCGGTTAACTGAGAGTCTACAGCATATAAATTTCATGGAGTTTTCTTGGGCAAGAAATACTAACCTAAGAAATATAGTCTAAATGTGTAATGAGTAAATATTCCAGTATTCGGCATTTTTACTTTATTTTAAGAAAAAGAGCGATAACAACTAATGGGGCCTAACAAGGAAAAGCTTTATAGCCTATAATGAGGTTTATTTCTTAAAATTAGATCTCAGATCACATTGGAATTGATCAACTTCAGACAATGCGGAATAAATCAATAGGAATGTCTGCCCCAAGATGTAGTGATGCTTATAGCCTTACATGAATTTAATATAGGGATGCTTATATTTCTTTGCAATGTGCTACATTTTGTTACAGCCCCCTGATGGTGCAGCGGGTTAAACTACTGACCTGCTGAACATGCTGACTGAAAGGTTGGCAGTTCAACTCTGGGGAACAGGGTGAGCTCCCACTGTTAGGTTCAGCTTCTGCCAACATGGCAATTCGAAAACATGCAAATGTGAGTAGATCAATAGGTACCACTTCTGCAGGAATATAATGGCGCTCCATGCTGTCATGCTGGCCACATGATCTTGGAGGTGTTTAAAGACGACGCCAGCTCTTCAGGTTAGAAATGGAGATGAGCTCCACCCCTCAGAGTCAGACTCGACTACACTTAATGTCAGGGGAAACCTTTTCCTTTACTTATGTTTTGTTAATACCACTTCTTTGATACAAGTCTCTTCTGCCACATCTTGTACAGAAAGGAATCTACTGTGATCCTCAAATTGTCATTCTTTTTCAACATGAAGCATTTAAAAAAAAAAGAATATATATATTTACAGTCAGAAGTGTTGTACTTACAATTTGTTCCTAACTTCAGACAAACCAGCTAATGTTCTGCATTTTAATTTAGTGTCACATTTTGTAAGCAATTGCCCACGGGCTGTTTGAGAAGATTGACCATAACAGTTACCTAAAGAAAAAAAAAGCACTACTTGAACATCACAAATGTTAACAACTTCCAGGTTGAAGAGATTATTTTTAAATGTCATTTAAAATTTTCATTAGTGAAAATGGAATTATACAGGACTGCACAGATAATACAGGTCCCTGCTCTCAAGAAACCAAGATTTTAAAGCAACACAATTTGCATGTTGACTTGAAATTGTAAGAAAACAGGTGGCATAAAAATACTTTAAATAAAGGAAAATAACTAAAGCAATACATGAGAAATCAACAGACCAGTGGTTCTCAACCTTCCTAATGCCGTGACAGTTCCTCATGTTGTGGTGACTTCCACAACCATAAAATTATTTTTATTGCTACTTCATAACTTTAATTTTGCTACAGTTATGAATCGTAATGTAAATATCAGATATGTAGGATGTATTTTCATTCACTAGACAAATGAAAAAACACAAAATATGCTCAAATTTGAATATTGATAGAGTTGTGGGGAGGACAGATTTTCTCATTTGGGAGTTGTAGTTGCTGGAATTTATAGTTCACCTACAATCAAGGAACATTCTGTAGTGTAAATATCTGAGATGCGGGATATATTTTCATTCACTGGACCAAATTTGGCACAAATATCCAATATGGCCAAATTTGAATACTGGTGGGGTGGGGGCTGGTATTTTGACATTTGGGAGTTGTAGTTGCTGGAATTTACAGTTCACCTACAATCAGAGTATTCTGAGCTCCACCAAGGATGGAATTGAACCTAACTTGGCACACAGAACTCCCATGACCAACATAAAATAGTGGAAAGGTTTGGTGGGCATTGACCTTGAGTTTTAGAGTTGTAGTTCACCTACATCCAGAGAGCACTGTGGAATCAAACAATGATGGATCTGGACTAAAAATTGGCACAAATACTCAATATGCCCAAATGTGAACAGTAGTGGAGTTTAGGGAAAACAGACTGCCTGTATTCCAAAATCCACAAATCAAACATAAACAGACTTTGTGCTCAGGTGTGGATCTCCTCTCCAAGACATCTCATGATGTCTATACAAGTAGTCTAATATCCAGATTATCCAAATCAACATTGTTTTTAACTTGGATGTGCGCCACCTCCAATATATTCCCATATCGATGTGTGCAAGTACTGTATTCCAAAGAATTCATCTATCAAACATAAATGGATTTTGTATTTAGACTTGAGTTACATCTTCAAGGCATCTCATGACAAGTTTTCCAAAATCTATATATTCAATTAATGTTGTGTTTGGACCTTGTTGGTGCCCCTGATGGCGCGGTGGGTAAAACCGCTGAGCTACTGAACTTGTTGATTGAAAGGTCGCAGGTTCGAATCCGGCGAACAGGGTGAGCTCCCACTGTTTAGCCCCAGCTTGTGCCAACCTAGCAGTTCGAAAACATGCAAATGTGAGTAGATCAATAGGTACCGCTCCGGCAGGAAGCTAACAACGCTCCATGCAGTCATGCTGGCCACATGACCTTGGAGGCGTCTATGGGCAACGCCAGCTCTTCGGCTTAGAAATGGAGATGAGCACCAACCCCCAGTCGGACACGACTGGATTAATGTCAGGGAAACCTTTACCTTTAATACCTAACTTTTTCAAGAGTGTCACGATGCTACTATGTTCCATTGTATCCTTTTTTTTACCTATCATCTCTAATGAAGGTATCTCCTTATATATTACAATTATTACATATATCCACATAGCAAATTAACACCAAATGAACAGGTCTCATCACCAAGATATATCAATAATATTATTAATATCAGGAATATATGATAATGATGATGTATATGTAAACATACAAAAAAGTCCCAGGAAAAAAAATCCAAACATTTTGGACAAGGGCTGAAGGGTGCATTTCTACACTATAGACTTAACACAGTTGGACACAGCTTTAATTGACCTGGCCCAATGCCCTAGAATCCTGGGCTGTGTAGTTTGATGAAGCAGAGGCCTCTTTGGCAGGTCAGGCTTGTTAAACTACATCTCCCAGGATCCCTTAGCATTGAGCCATGGTAGTTTTCAGTGGGGCCAAGCTGCATTAAGGCTGTCCGACCCAAAGGGAGACCCACGCGAGGGACTCACGGAGCAGCGAGGCCCACGGGCTGTTCAGAGCGCGCCACTTCCCCGCCATTTTTCAAGCCACCAGGCGCTAGGACCCAGGATGGGGGAAGGCGGGCTTGGCTCCTCCCGCTCCGGCTCCTCTTGCCAATAGAACTCACTCCTGGCTGCGGTCACAAGCCACGCCCCCGTTACGTCGACGTCACTGTTGTGCCTCGCCTTAAAGGAGACTTACCCCGCGGTACCAATGCATCGTGGAATGTGGGCAATGCTGGATATTACTGGGAGTTGTAGTTTTACAAGGTGTTATCTGCCTCAATAAACTGCAACTCCCAGGATTCCTATGGCTTTTTAAAACTGCATTCGCACTGAAGAACCAGCAGGACTGAAGACTGACAGGTCGCAGGTTCGAATCCCGGGAGAGCGCGGATGAGCTCCCTCTGTCAGCTCCAACTCCTCATGCAGAGACATGAGAGAAGCCTCCCACAAGGATGGTGAAACATCAAAAACATCCGGGAGTCCCTTGGGCAACGTCCTTGCAGACGGCCAATTCTCTCACACCAGAAGCGACTTGCAGTTTCTCAAGTCGCTCCTGACATGGAAAAAAAAGTGTTTTCCAAACTGTAACCGGTAGTAAGTCCACTAGAGTGGAAAGAGTAGGCATCCCTCTTGAAACCCTGTGTCTGCTTCCTTCCTGCAGAATCCAATCAAAGAGCTGGTCACCCCTAAAATTAGTTTACATTGATATTTATGACTTTCATTAAAAACAGAAGGCACAGCTTAATTGGTATACAAAAAAAATCTCATTGGTTTTGGCTGACAATTATGGAATCTCATTGGTTCTTCTACGAGGGTTGAATGAAAAGTAATGCCTCCACCTTAGTAACTCTTCAACAGATGGCAGTACTGGTATGTGGCAGGTACTGGCTTGTTCAGTAGACTCTCCTCTACTTTGGCCAGGAAAGCCTTAGCATTGAACAGTTATGTTGTTAAAGTGCGAAGTATCGAACCCTGCGCAGATGGTCGGTCAATGCGACTTAAGCAACTTGTAGTCATTGAATTCTTCCATTCTTTTTTCTCTGCCTCCCTAAACTGCAACTCCCAGGATTCCCAAGCACTGGGCCGTGGCTTTTTAAAAGTGGTGCCAAACAGCATTTGTACTGAGGAGTATAGATCTGTGCTTTCCAAACTGTAGCCGGTAGTCTGCTAGAACAAAAAGTGTAGTCATTCCATTTGAAGCCATGTGTCTGCCCCCTTCCTGCAAAATCCTGGGGCCTGTAGTTTAGGGGCAGACCTATGAATGCTCAGCCAGAGAAGCCCTGGGCTTCCCTAAACTACAAGCCCCAGGATTCTGCAGGAAGGAGGCAGACTTCAAGATGTTCAGCAGCTTTTCCCAAATCATTTTTGGAGCAAGACCTTGGTTTATCATTTAAAAATGGAACTTCAAGTATTATTTTAGCATACTGCACGGTGAGCCCTTGCAATACAGAAGATGCTGCATTCAAGAACTTTAATATTAATCTGTTAAAAGCCAGGGAAGAAAGCAACATGGTGGAGCAATTCGAACATTGGAATGGAGGTGCACCTACGCTGTAGAATTAATGCAGTTTGAACCCACTTTTATTGCCATGGCTCAATACTGTGGAATCATGAGAGCTGTAGTTTTACCAGGCCTTTCACCTTCTCTGCCAATAAGTGCTGGTGCCGTACCAGAGCACAAATCCCAGGGTCCCATAGTAATGAGCCATAGTAGCTAAAGTGGTATCAAACTACATTCTACAGTGTAAATACACCCCATGACTCTGGAGATCAGGGTTTAAATGTCATCTCAGCCATGGGCTCTTCCACACAGCCCTATATCCCAGAATATCAAGACAAAAAATCCCACATTATCTAAGCATGGACTCAGATAACCCAGTTCAAAGCGGATATTGTGAGATTTTCTGCCTTGATATTCTGGGATATAGGGCTGTGTGGAAGGGCCCCATGAAAAGCCTGTGGGTGATCTAGGGCAAGTCACACTTTCTCAGCCTCAGGAAAGCAAAGGTGCCAAATCCACCTCATGAAAACCCTGTGGTTGCCATAAGGTGCACAACAAACAATAAAGCATAAGGACCTGTGTTTATTCCCTTATTATAGGCTCATTGTTTGCATATTCTCCCTTTTGTAATCCCAGGGCCCTTCCACACAGTCATATAATCCAGAATATCATGACAGAATAACCCACAATATCTGCTTTGAACTAGAATATCCGAGTCCATACTGTCATATATCCCAGTTCAAAGCAGATAATGCGGGATTTTATTCAGCTATAGGGAAGGGGCCTCACTTTCTAAAAACCGCCATCTCTGAGCTTCTTGTCAAAACTATTTTCTGTATTCCCATTGCCTCATACAGATCCTCCACTTTATTCCACAAGTTTAACGCTTCCTTAAAGGGATGTTTTCCTATTGTAATATATCGTGTTTTCCCCAAAATAAGACACTGTCTATATTTATTTTGCCTCTCAAGAAGACACACTATGGCATATTTTCAGATGTCTTATTTTTTTTAAGTATGGTACAACAATCTGCATTTATAGGATGATCTCTCTGGGCTCAGTAACAGACTGCTTGCCGAAGCTTTCCCCCTATCCCCTGATGTTTGTGTGGGGTGAGAGAAACCCACAGACTGTTGCTGGTCAGTGCTGGGGAGCAACAGCTGTATTGGTGTTTGGGGTGGGTGGGTGAGAGAGACCCACAGACTGTTGCTGGTTGGTGATGGGAGAGAGAGACCCACAGTGCTGAGTAAAATGGCAGCCATGGCTTTACTTCTTCCCCCTGACGACACACAATACCTAAAACAGAGCATCCTGCTCCTCACTTCACCGAGGAGACTTTTACTTTCCCTCTATGCCTCAGCTTGCATCACACACAGAATGATTAGGACCTGACAGGAGGAGGCGACCTTGTACACTGCATAGCCATGCCTATTACTATGTCTTATTTTCAGGGTATGGCTTATATTGTGCAAATGCTTAGAAATCCCATTAAGGCATATTTTATGGGTATGTCTTATTTTCGGGGACACAGGGTGTGTAAATATCAGAATATGGCTAATTGGACAGGTTTTGCATTCAAAAGCGGGTTTTCAGATTGACAACCCCTACCCCAGTCTTCCACTTGTCAAAATACTGACAATCGTGTCTCTTCTTTCCCAGTCCACCTCTACTCATGAAATATCCAGACAGCAGCTTCAGTCATTTCCCAGCGATCACTTAATATCTGCACAAATGTCACATTGGACTTTGTAGGGACATACTTCAGAGCAGGCAGCTCCAGGCTATCTGAAGAATGATCCTGACCTAGATATTATCCTGAGGCCTTAATATTGAACTGAATAGGATAAACATTGAAATAGTTATCATTTTAAAATAATTTAAATTAAAAACAAGCTCCAGCACTTTTGCTTCTTTTTGTTGCACATTTGTGAGCTGGCAAGTAAGTTGTTATAATGGTTAGATAGTAAGGAACAAGTTCAAGGCAATGAGGTTATCTAATTTCTTAAGGAAGTGAGAAGAATGTAGCAAAAACTGCAATGTAATGTAACAAGGAAGGGTAGAGCTACTTGAGTAATGAGTTGCTTATAGGGATTTTCAAATGCTTGTTTTAAAGAGCATTCTGAATTTTTTTTAAAAAAGTTTGATGCCATTCAAGTATCCTTTTTGAAACAGAAAAGTAACATGCTGTGCAACAAGCAATGCAATGTTTTCCCAATACAGTACTGTGGGAATTTAACAATGTCTTGGTTTTCAAATACTATAATGAGAAAGGTAAAATAGTTTATTTTTAAAGCTCTACTAACAGTAAGAAATTAACATTGCATGACCTGTCATGGCTTACCTTCTTGATCTCTTGACTCCTACTTTCTCTAGGCCAGACTAAATACAATTAACAAGCATGGTGCAAACACCGTATCTGTAAAAGACATGGTCCATGACTCCCTGTGGATACCTGAAACTGGAAATTACAGGTATACGGTACCTATGCCATATACCAAAGAACCTCATTGGAGGACCTTAAGAGGCCTACTTTGTTGTGTGTGAATATATTTTGGAGTGTGGGTAAGCGAAACCATGGATATCAAATCATGGTTAAGGCGAAGGGAGTTATACTGTCCATTTCACAGGGCCAAGAATTCCCCAGTCATATTCTAAATATAGAAGAATGGGCGGCACTGCAGACGTATCAGGTTCAGGCTACTTGAACTGTAGACTCATTGAAATAATAGCACTACAATTCTCTAGGACAGAGTTCTATGTATCAAGGTCATCCTAGAATGGAGTACAACAAGAGTGATATCAAACCCCTCAGAAAGTGTAGTGCAGAAACCCTTTCTAATGCTCCCTGGTGTTCACCTGGTTTCTGTGCTGCTGGAGGAAGCCTAAAGTTGCCTTGACTGATTAGTAGTGAGTTCTTTATACAGGTCAAACATCCCTTATCTGGAATTCCAAAACATTAGCTGATATAATGACACCTTCTGATGTTTCAATGTATACACACTTTGTTTTGTTTAACAATTATAAACATGTATAGGGTGTGAATGAAACATAAAGAACATAGATTTTAATTCAATTGACTCAAGTGTTGTGCAGCCTTATGAAATAACCAGTGGTGTCAACCACCTGGCACAGAATTGGGGGATTTTGTCCACTGCGGATCTCTTCCATAAACTTCCAGTTTACAGGTGATGGCGATGAGATTTTTTTTTCTATAAAGAACTGCATTTTGTAAGCCTTTTGACTTTCCACAAACATGAATTCTCTTCAGGTACATCTTCACTCATCAGGTGCCAGCTGTGCGTTACTTGCACTTCCAGTTGGTAGGACAAATGACGCAAATAGCATTGGAGGGGAGAAACAGGCACAGAAGTTCAGACAGAGGTTGTTGCTATATTGTCTTTTTTGGGAACACAAAACATTGAGACATTTCTCTACACCGGTAAAAAAGCAAGCCATTTCATCTTTCTCTGTACTGTGACTGCACTTTTTATGTCTTATCGATATGACTCAAAATAACTCAAGCCCAGGCCCTGTACATATTAAATCTCTCACTCACTAGAATCTGGTTTTGTAAAAGGGTTAGGTGAGAACAAAGACATTTTTCCCATCTGCACGTTGCTCTCCAATTCTGGGTCCTCGGTTTTACAAGAGATAAAAAGGGGGCACAAGTTTGTAACAGACGGACGCAATAGGCCTGTTGCATAGAGTTCTGCCTGCACTTTTTGGGATATGAGTCTTTTAATTCATTAGTTTTACTGTGGAAAGGAAAACAACATGATTCCAGGCCAGCCTTCCAAAGCTCAAATAAAGCAAGCTGTACCTTTATTTAAGGCAGACCTTTCCAAACTGTGTGTCATGACACATTAGTGTGTCGTGCAAACTAATGAGAAATGACAAAAATCTTGGAAATGTGTTATTATTGGACAAGTCATATATATTTTAAAAATACAAATGAGAAGTTTTCATGAGGTATGTTGTGTTCCCATACATTTCATTATTACAATTTATGTCTGTGCCTGTATTTTTTATAAGGGGTTGGTTTTACCTCAGGTTTCTCAGTACAAACGAATTACTGGGCTGCAAAATAATGCATGTCTAAAAGGTGTGTCACCAACATAAAATGTTGGAAAGCTCTGATTAAAAGGCTCATTGCTTTGAAAAATGAAGATAATCCTCAAGTTAACAACGCATTATATATCAAGGAAAAAGCTGGAAAATTGCTACAATGACAAAAATATGGGCATGTACGGGATATATTAAATGCTGCCTCTTTCTTTTCAAAATGAAAGCATTCCAACATAAAATGACATTTTCATGTACACAAAAGTCAGTTGTTTTTAACTCCAGTGCTTTTTTCTGATGTAAGTGCCATATATATGTATATATACATATATATATATATATACACACACACATACCATTGAACAAATTTTTTTGCTACTGTAAATACAGAAGAGTAGGCTCTCTTTATTGGCACACAGTGATTACTGAGATCAGTGCACTTGTGTGAAAGGGAAAGCAATTTCCAGGTACAGAAAGTGACAAATCCAGGTAGTGGAATATATAAGAAATGTCATGCACATTATTATTTAACAGATAATAGAAGGCTGGAATTAAAAAAAACAATGAAAAATATCATAGTAAGATGGATTATCATAGTAAGATATATTCCTGATCTGTTCATTTTAAAACAAATGGTAGAAGCTTTTAAAAAACACCTTATTTCCCCAGTTCAGCTTCTGAAATTAGTCTCTTCCTGAGATTCTTGTCTAAAAACTAGTTTGTCAAGTAACAAATTTGATATTTTTCTGAGCTCCTTCTCCCCACAACTACACTGAGTTTATGGGCTGAAGGGAACAAGCCTACAAATGTGTGTTGTGCAACCCTTTCTATGCATAGAACAGTGGTTCCCAACCTTTTTTTGACCAGCAACCACTTGACCAGGGACCACTCTCCAACATTAATACCAAAAGGGTTACGAATCAGTTTTTGGTCAACTTTGGATTTGGTTTGGTTATTTGGGGTGCTGATTCAGAAAATTGCATCGGCTAGACCACATAAACTCTCGTTTCTGATGCAGAACATATGCCATCCAGTAGGTGCCATCTGCTTGCCCACAGAAAACTATATTTATTAAGCCTCGGCACTGTAAGAGGGTTTCGCGAGACCAGTCGCTCTCATGGCAACCGTGTAGTAACAGTGAGGCTGCAGACCATATTTAAGTTCTTCCAGACTACTGGTGGTCCACAGGTTGGACCACAAGTTGGGAACCACTGGCATAGAAGATAAATTCCACTGAATTAGGGATCTTCTCCCAAAAATTCAATTGTATTGTTGTATTCTTAATTAAAATAATTTCTCTGAAAAACAATAATGTATATAGAGTGCATAACTATATTTAAAGAGGAGGGGGGAGAACAAAATGCCAATAGTCCCCCATTCAAATTATCTTACATCTTGAAGTTCACAAGAAATGCATGCTGATTATTCATTTCAGCAGGAACATTAATCAATTTTTTTTTAAAAAAACTGTTTTCATAAGAATCCATATTGTTCAGTTCTATCTGTCAAATTCTATTCAATTTTTAATCAATAGAGCAGTTTTTAAAATAGCAAATAAAATTCTAGCAATAGTTACAAGACCAGAGCTAGCTAAGCTTGTTAACTTTGTAATACATGGATGTATTTTAATGTTTTTAATGCAATAGTTAAAGAAAATTAGATTTCCAGCTTCTTAACTATACAAACCATTCATGTTGTGCTTTTGGATACTGAAATATAATACTGAAGAACAGAGTTCCAAATCTACAAACTGACGCCATATGGTTACTCGTGTTTGTTGCTATTTGTGCTTGGCTAATTTTATCGTGTTTTACAATCAAAATTATCTACATTTTGTTCACATTACAGTATGATGATTATTCAAGAAAGTTTTTAAAAGAAAAAAAAAACCCCTCAGTTTTTACCTAGAAACTGACCATGATGCATCCTATCCAAAATGAAACTAAATGTTAAAAACATATTATGACGTATTTTTAAAAAATCAAAGTGCTCTGTAACCATACTGTAGTTTTATAATAAATTAAAATGCAAGAATTTAAACAAAAATGAACTAAAGAACTTTATTGACATCACAGTACATTCAATAGCAATTTTAAGAACATTACAGCTGAAAGAGAATGGCATATTTTATAGTCTTAGTAAGCACTACTGTTCTAAAAAAAATGTAAATACAAGGAAATCCTAGCACGTACTTAACTCCGAGCAGATTTCAAAAAAAAATACAGCTATTTACAGATATTCTTTTAAAAAGGGGTTCAGTTTTCACCTACACAGCCACAATAGTAGCTTCTATAATGAGCCTCTATAATGAGACAAGCCCTTTAAAACTCATGGAATTTTTAAATCATATGACTAGTGCCATATCATTCCTCAGCGTTTACGACGAGGAGGAGTCACTGATCTGAAAAATAAAAAGAAAGGAAAGAAAATTGAAGGACAAAGGTCCACTGACTCAATTCATACTATAGGTTTAATAATATTCACTTTCTTAAAAGTAAAAATAAAATGCTATCAAGTCATTGCCCCACCCACCAAGATAACAATTTGAAGCAATTATCTTAATTTGAAAATTATACACATATATGTTGCAGGCATGATGATGATTAAAAACATAAACAAACATATAAATCAAACAAGATACTTAAAGGAATACTACCTTGATCGTGATTTAGACTTGTGTTTGCGGCTTGCCTTCTTACCAGACCTTTGAGATTTCTCCACGGACCGTGATCGACTATGCTTTGATTTCTTAGGCTTCTTTTCTTTGCTGCTTCCTGGTGACTCCGAACTGCTTCGTGTGCTAGATTCTGAACCTGAACGCTTTTTGCTATCTTTGGTAGAACGTCTCTTGCTTTCCTGCCTAGAATTGTGCCTTAACAATTTTGAAGATACTGAATTGCTGCTAGACAGAGCTCTTTCACTATCCCTTTTCCTCTTTAATCTCTCATCATGGTTGCTCGCTTTACTGTCTTTTTCTTCTTTTCTCTGTTTCTCTTTGCGTTTCTCAGAGTCCCTGTCCTTTTCTCGGTTCTTTTTTTTATCCTTTTCTGTGCTCCTGCTGCGTTCCTTCTTTCTTTCCTGAGCCTTACTATCATGACTGTGTTTGTGCCTGTTGCCACTTACATTTCTATGCTGGTCCTCACTTCTACGTCTATCTCGACTTCCACTGCGAGTGGAATGACTAGCAAGCCTGTCCCTTGAATGGCTATCGCTTCTACGCCTTTCCCAGTTTCGGTCAAGGGAAGGGCTACGGTTCCTTCTCCTTTCCCCCCGTTCTGCGCTCCTGTGCTTACTAGACCTGCGCCTCTCTCTTACCTTGCCCCTGCTCCTACTCCTCTCTCTCCGGTTTCTATGGGAATAGCTCCTACTTCTGCTACGCCTAACCTTATGCGAAGGGGACCTGCTGCGACTACGCCTCTTTTTCCGTTTAGGGGAGGAAGAATGTGAAGAGCTGCGGCTGCTTCCGGAGCTACTACTGTAGGAGGAACTAGAAGCTGTGCTGCTACTGCTACTACTGCTGCTTCTGCTATTGGCACTTGAGCTACCACTGCTTGAACTTTTTGACCTACTCCTCCTTGTTTTCTCTTTTTCTTTATTAATCTCTTTTTTTGGTTCAGTATCTGGTGTTCTTTCCTTGGGAGATTTTTTCTTTTCACTAAACACATCCTCCTCTTCTACTTCTTTTGCATCCTCTGGTGGTGAATTGATGTTTTGCTCCTTACTGGCAAGTTCACTCATCTCTTTTGCAAATTTCTCATTTTGGAGTTTTTCTTCTGCAAATATACAAAAAGAAACAAAAATCATACCAAGTTAGGTGGTAGAGATGTAACGTCTTTTATTATGTTCCAATCACTGTACATGTATTAAACATCAATCAACAAGATAACACAGAGTAACACTATTTGATCTTTCCCTGCTCTTCGCATGCTCATTGGAAAGTCAGTGGAGTTTACTTTAAAATGAACTATCAACCAACATTTCAACCAACTGTTAATAATAAACAAAATCCTATTTTCAGGAGAGACTGACATTAAGAATATTAATGGAGTTTAAACATTTACAATATTAATCATGTTTAAGATCCTAAATACGTTTTTTCATCAAATAATGGAACTTAACTAAAGTGCCCAAAATGAGATCCACTGACCCTTAATAAGGAAATATTTTTGATGACACCAGGAAGATCAGGGCCTTTAAAGCTACAGCAGCAGTGAAAAAAGATTGGCAGTTTAGGTGGGAAGACATTTGTATATAGTGGTTGGAGGTGGGCAGGGTGACTGCCAACAAACTTACTGTATATACTCACGTATAAGTCAGCCTCAGTCAAGTGCCGGTTCTGAGGGCAAAATTATGGATACTGATATGACCTGCAGATAAGTCAAAGGTCATTCTATGGAGAGGGGAAAGTACCAATGCCGCCTCAGGGAGTCAGACAACTCTGGCAGGCACCACTATTTCCACACGAAAGCATTCAAAAGTCCCGAAGTGGCACCACAGTGGAGAGAGTGTAGGGGGTTGGTGCTTCTTTTAGGTTCTTCTGGGATGGACTAAACTCTTGCCTTTTACCACTCCACTCAGAAAAGGGTTAAAGTAAAGTAGTCAAATAAGTCAACCCAAATTTTTTGACTGATTTTCTAACTAGCGGTTCTAGACTTAAACAAGAGCAGACAACAGACAAGGAACTGCTGCACCTCCATATCAACATCAGCCAGAAGATGAATTCGCAGGACTGGGACAAAATAGACAACCTCACTTACAGGAAAATGGAGAAAAATGTGGCTGTCTACACCAACAGACAAAAACAAAAATTCCACAAATGCCAAAAGCAACAGCCGAAACCAGAACTGGATACATCACGGACCATCATCAACCTTACAGACAACTCTCTGAAGACCAAGTATCCATACTAGCGAGAGGAGGAAATTTTGCTGTAACCACCACCAGGATCCCAGTAGAAAACATCATTGCCAATGTCAAATCAGCAATTTATCGCCTCCCCGAGGAAGAAGCAAAAGAAGTATGAGCAGAAACAGCAAGGATCCTGAAAAAGGCAAAACTCCCCTCCAGTAACAAGGAAGGAAAGACAAGCCATCAGAGATCTTGACATCATCATTCTCCCAGCAGACAAGGGGAATGCCACAGTAATCATGGATACAGAACAATACAAGGAGAAGATCAGAAAACTCCTGGATCCTACTATATACAGAAAACTTAAACAAGACCCAACTTCCAAAATAACCAGGAAAACCAACACTCTGATTAAGAACTCTTCAATCAACTTTGACATACGACAACAGCTATGTAAATCGGAAGCCCTTCCACCTAGGCCTTATGGACTCCCAAAAATCCATAAGGACTCCACCCCACTCAGACCCATCGTGAGTGCCATTGGATCCCCCACGTACGACTTAGCAAAATTTCTTGCTGCACAGTTACAAAGCCATATTGGGCTCACTACACACTACATCAAGGACTCAGCCCACTTCATAGAAACAAACAGCAATCTCAAGCTAAAGACCAACGACAAACTGATCAGCTTCGATGTAGTGTCTCTATTTACCATGGTCTCGAGGACAGCTGTGACCAGCAGTGCTGCAGAATTTGAGGAGGCACGAGTGGAGGGTGAAAGAGTGAAATGTGCCAGGAGGAAGGCGCGTCAAGCCAACCCCGACCGGGACCACCTTCCACCTGGAAACCAATGCCCTCACTGCGGAAGAAGATGCAGAGCAAGAATAGGGCTCCACAGCCACATACGGACCCACAAGGAAATCCATAATGGAAGACCATCTTACTCGTCCAACGAGGGATCGCCTAAGTAAGTAAGTAAGTAAGTAAGGTCCCGGTAGCAGACACCATTGCACTAATCAACCAGAGGTTCCCAGAAGACATCACAACTCTGTTTCACCATTGCCTCACCACCAGCTACTTTCAGTGGGACAATGAATTCTATGAACAGAAAGATGGAGTAGCTATGGGGAGCCCTCTCAGCTCGTTCATAGCTAATTTCTACATGGAGCACTTTGAAAAACAATCACTGGAAACAGCAACAAAAAAGCCCACGATATGGTTCAGATATGTGGATGACATTTTCACCATTTGAAGCCATGGAGAAGAAGAACTCAACAGGTTCCTGGAGCATCTTAACAGCATCCACCCAAACATCCAATTCACCATGGAAAAAGAAAATGAAGGAAGACTGCCTTTTCTAGATGTCTAGTCATCCGTAAACCAGATCAACAATTGGGTCACACCGTTTACAGAAAACCCACACACACAGATAGATATCTACATAAAAACTCCAACCATCACCCAAGTTAAAAAAGAAGCACCATTAAAGCCTTGGCAGACCGTGCAAAAAGAATCTGCGAACCCCACCTCCTCCAAGATGAACTGAACCACCTCAACTGGGCTCTACAGGCCAATGGAGACTCCACCTCAGACATCAGAAGAGCTGCAAGACCGAGAACAAGCCACGAGAGTAAAGATGAAGATCCACCCAGAGGAAAAGTGTTCTTGCCATACATCAAGGGAACCACTGACTGCATAGGGAAGCTGATGAGGAAACACAATATAGAAACCATCTACAGACCCACCAAGAAAATCCAACAAATGCTATGTTCAGCAAAGGACAAGAGAGCATCCTCTCACCTCTGCAGGAGTCTACCATGTACCATACAGCTGTGGACAAGTCTACATAGGGATCACCAAACGCAGTGCCCAAACACGAATCAAGAAACACGAAAGGCACTGCAGACTACTTCAACCAGAGACGTCAGCCATACAGAGCACCTGATGAACCAACCTGGACACAGCATATTATTTGAGAACACAGAAATGCTGGACCACTCTCACAACCACCATATCAGACTACACAGAGAAGCCATTGAAATCCACAAGCATGTGGCCAATTTCAACAAAAAGGAGGAAACCATGAAAATGAACAAAATCTGGCTACCAATATTAAAAAACTCAAAAATTACAACAGCAAAACAACAGAGAGTAAACAATCAGGCACATCTAATCACCTCTCAACTAAAGATTCCCCCAGGCACTGCCAAGCCATCAAATGCTAATTAAGGTGGTCAGTTGAAACATTCACACCTAGCTCCAGCAGACATGAGTCCTTTGTCCCACCCTGTTCATTCCACAGATATATAAACCCCTATTTCCTAGTTCCAACAGACCTCACTACCTCTGAGGATGCTTGCCATAGATGCATGTGAAATGTCAGGAAAAAATGCCTCTAGAACATAGCCATATAGCCCAGAAAAACCTACAACAACCCAGTGATTCCAGCCATGAAAGCCTTCGACAATACACAAATTTTATTGTACTCTACTCAACTGGCAAGTCTTGACCCAGAGGCAGGACTGCCACACTAGCTGACAAATTATTGGGGAGCTGTTGTGCCTTTATGTTTTAAAATTATGCTGAAGTACAATTTTGAGAGACGTTGTGTTCCCAACAAAAAGATAAATTATAGCTTTTGAATCCTATCTGAAGGCTACTTTATGCAGAACAAAAACATAAAATAACATACAGTTTGAATCTGAATAACTTCTCTTTTGGAGATATTGGGCAGCTTTCCAGAAAACAGATGTAGCTGAATACAGATAAATTTATTACGGAGACGATAACCCAGGACAGGCAACAGCAGAAACAGAAATGTATGGAAGCCTTTGTTCAATTAGTGTTATAGAAAAAAAATGCTTCACTGTGGGGTTTTTTTCTTTTTGCATGATTGTAGCAAAACAGGCTGTCAACCAACTGCATACTAATATAAGCATAGGATAAAAGGTTATTATGTTTCAACTAAAATGATAAATTAAACCAGCAAAGGAGTTAGGGGCTTTTTTGGCACGCTGTATTCAACAAAGAAAATACAGTGAATGCTTTCCTTTCCATGTTTCTTGCATACATTGTTGGTCTCAGAAGAATATATTGGCATTTATTTTCTGTGCTTACGAAGAATACACTTCTTTAGCCCACGTTCAGTGATAGGGATGGGGCCAGGATGCTTTAGCCAGCTCCAGCTCTGGCTCACAGTGCATTCAGAGGAATCTCTGTGTTGTTCCCAGGAGTTTCTGCACCAGAGTTTGCAAATTGATCCCTGAGGATATATCTATGCTTTGTTTCTATTGGGTTAGATCCCGTATCCCTCTGTGCTTTAATTCTAGTGGGCTAGCCCTACAAGGCTGGGAGAAATCAGGTTCCCTCCTCCCAGGAGGCTCTATACAAAATGCTCCAAGGTTTGTGGGACCCTGCTGAATAAAATGGCATGCCACACAGGGAGGACAGCAGGATTCTCTCGGATTATGGTGGAACTATCAAATGGAATTCATTTCTTACAGACGTGCTATATAAACCTTTACAGCCAACATACTGCTTTGATTGCATTTGTGTTCTGATAGAAGTACCTTATATGAGAGCAAATCAAAAGGATACAGATAATAAATTCAAAAAAAAAACTTTGGTGGGCACTTTACCCCACACAGCATAGTTCAGACTGCTATACAATACACTATTGTGTATAAAATATACTTGTCCTAGATGAAAACATAGCATATTGCAAGTATGGGCTACAAATACAGTCAGGGTGAAAATCACCATCATTGTAGTCCATTTTAAACCAAATTCAGAACTTACCTTCCAGCTGTTTCTCGAGCAATAGTTGTTGTTCCCTCTCCTTCCTCCAAAATGCCTCTTGTTTTTGCCTGATCCTGTGTCGCAGTTCCTCATCATCTGTATCAGATGACTCAGAGCCTCTGTCGCTCCTCTCCTCGTCACTGTCTCCTGATCCATAACCACCCAGTCCACCTGCGTGCATAAAGCCTAGTCTATCATGAGGAAGGATTAATCCTACTTCTTAATATTTCTGCAGGGCAAAGAGGAGAGCACATTGCCCATTGTTCACTTCTTCACTGAAGAAGCCACTTATTCTGGAGGAAGTGCCAAAGCTGGTTGAGTGGAGTGTTCAAGGACCACACATTTGACCTGTTGTTCAGTATATGGATTTACTTCTTCTGGAATCGCCTGCCATGTTTTCCAGCAAGCAAGCACTATGGTTACATTGCCACTAAATATATGGGTAGAGCCAAACCACATACTTAGTATACATAAGTGAGAACATATACGCAGAAGTGCAGTGCCTAAAAACCTGTCCTTAAAAGTATCTTTATAGTGATTTCAACCAGTTTCAATATCCAGGGCTTTTTAAAAAAGTCCCATAGGCCAATCAGTGTTTGGATATTTAGAAAAGGCTGTACATGCAAAGGTACAGTTACAGGATAGGAATGGACTTCTCTTCCCCCAAAAGACAGACCTGAAAAACTGACTGCTAGACAGTAATCCTGAACATCTAATACAACAGCATTTTTACTTTCTTTTCCAGGCTCTCACTCTTACAAAGTTCATTTACACTATTGTGAAAGAAATCATCACTAGTGGTCAGAATATTTATTTATTTCGTATGACACAATCATAAAACACTGCTTTACTGATGTTACACTGACATGCAAACATTTCTTAAAAGCCTATTATATTCCAGAATGCAATTCTGAATTCCATATCCAGCATGTCCTGCTGTCAAATAAATGCAAGCTATGAGAATTCACAATGTGCATTGGTTGTGTGAGTTTTTGACAAGACAAAGGTTATTTAATCAAGTCCATTATACAAACTAACAAAGGTGAATTAAAAACAGAAGGGAAATTACTCAGAACCACTATATCTGGGCAAACCTTGCACTCCAAGTTGCATTCAGAAGACAGGCTTATATTACACTTACAATGGAAATAAGGCTAAGGTACAACTTTGTAGACTTCAGTGTATTTGCAGAATACATTCTTTATAATATGCTTGTATGCTATCAGTTGTGTGCCTAAAGCACCTTGGGTAGTTTCAGTCTACTTTCAATACAGATTCAGAAATGCAATTCAGAGCTATCTCCCCCATATAGTCCCACTCGAAAACCAGGAGCGTACTTACCAAGTCCAGTGAGGGAAGCCAACGCACTGGACTGTGCCAGCTGTTTTGCAGGAGCTTTGTATCACATCAACAACAGGAACAACATGTTAACACAAATAGCCACGGTTTCATAGTCATGAGAGTCTATGGTATTGTTAAATCTACTACTATTGCTGTTTTGTGGAGGAGAGAAAAAACCATTAAAAACGTATCATCCATTGCAAGCCCAATAATATTCTGGCCAAGAAAGTTTAGAAATTTTAACAGAGAGTTACGAGAACAGTGGATAGATTTTTAAGAAGTAAATCCTTTCATAATTACACATTGCCAAGTTAATGAAGTTCAACTTCAATCAGCATATGATTTATATGTAACTTATACGTAAGTTATAATAATATAATAATAATAATAACTTAAGTTTTCTGTTTTGTTAAAAATATAGCTGGCTAACAAAGAAAACAAGTGTATTGTCTAAAGCTTGCCTTAGTTCTTACTCAACTATATTTAATAGTAGTAACTGTAAGTGGTATATACACATATGAAGATTATAAAAGTTTAAAATAAAATTCTATCAAAAAATGGAATAGCCGAAGTTAACTCAATACACTGCACAGAACAACACTGCACAGGACAACTGGTTATTACAACAGAATGATTTCATCCTTTCTACTTTGTAATGTTTTAGGTGCATATATTATGCATTTAAGATGTTCTAGGACATGCAGAAGGCTGTTTAATGGTGCTGCCATAAGTGTACCTTTTATTGCTTTACGGTGAACATCTTTAGCCACATAATAAATTTCTTCATTTGTAACATCAAGGAGAATTTCTGTCAGCAGCATTTTTGTCAGCAACATCTGAACAAAAGAGAATACAAATGCGCCTGAATTTGTTCTCAGCTACACACTTTACATTTCACATTAAAAGACATAATAGCTTTTACTCACAATTTTCTTCAGCTATTAAGGATTACATGAAATGCATGCCAAAAAAATTGCTTATTTGATGGTATGTTCAATCACAAGCAGTCTACTGTCTTAACTTTAAAACGTCTTTAACTGTATAAGTATGAGTAAAGAGGGAAGAGATGGAAGAGATCTCTGGAATTTTTCTTCTGCCTTGAAAGAATGTAAGACAAGAACCAAGAGCTTGAATAAGGAGGAAGTTGACTGGATACATACAGGCTTTTCAGCAGGCCAAAAAGACCTGTCCCAACTATAGCCAACATGTATCTCCTGTAAACCTATGCATATTGTCAACTGAATACTGTATCTATAATATGCAGTTCCATCCTATTATACAACTTTCCACTAATGCCATAACCACAGTAAAAAAACATTCCTGTTTCATCCTTTTGTTTGGTTTCAGGTAATAGCAATTTCTAAAGCATAATAGTTGAAACTGATTACCATCATGTTAGGCTACGCATGCAGAAATTTTCTCTTTGCTTTAATAGCTGCAAGCACTTGAAATAGAAGCATAATTTTAAAAACCTATTCATTCAGATCAGTGCAAGATGGTTGCCAGCAATATTCACAATCACCACTTATTCGAAAGAAGCCATCATCCCAAAGACTAAGGCCAAGATTCAATGAAAAATTGGAAGTTTCTTCTACTTGCTGCAGTATTGATGGCAGCAAAAACTTTTCCAGAGGATTTCCTAAATTGTCAGCAGGTTTCTGGGATGCACAGACAACTCCAAGAGGGACGGATGGTTGCTGATTCTTGCAGAGGGAGCAGGATCCAGTGGAAGGACACCTCTGGATTCTGGTCTTGCAATGCATTACTTTGAACTTCATCACACTAGAAAAATCTATTCAAATCCTGTGGCTGCCTCCTGCAGAATACTGGGATTTATAGTTTAGTGAAGTCCAGGACCTGACTGAACAGTTTAAAGCAACCACCCCTAAAAAAAAAAAATCAAAAACATCCCTACCAACCACAGAATTCTGCAAGAAGCAGCCACAAGTGGATAGAGGCTCTAGTGCAGTGGTTCTCGACCTGTGAGTCCCCAGATGTTTTGGCCTTCAACTCCCCGAAATCCTAACAGCTGGTAAACTGGTTGGGATTTCTGGAAGTTGTAGGCCAAAATAACTGGGGACCCACAGGTTGAGAACCACTGGTCTAGTGTGATGAGATCTTTAGAGTAATCATTAAGTTGCTGTAATCAACTAATAAATAATCTCTTGTTTAATAAAGTTTTTTGTTAACATAAGCATAAAAATTTAGATGGCAGTCACCTCACAAATGAGGGAATACTTCTTAAGATGTCATGTGCTATACAAATACAACACATTTTTATAAATTGCTGCCTTATTTCTTTAACTATTTCAATCATATGCAAATTTTATAAAATCTACATGAAAGCAATTAATTCTTACTCAATAGATTTATTGATCAATTTTCTCTTAAATAACCAAGCATATACAGGCAATGTTAGTCAAGTAATCACCAAGCTATGCATACCAGCTGAAACTCCTTTTCTTCCTCAGTCATTTCTGGTTCACTTTGCTCCTCTTCAGGAGCCGGAGAGGGACTCCTGCTGACTTTCCCGCTACTTGTAGCCTCTACATTATCAAGATCTTCATCTTCCTCGTCACTATCCTATTTTTAAAAAGGAAACAGAATACTACTTAAAATTCAAGCAATGTATATTGGCAAGCAAGGATACAAGTTCTCTGTACGTATTATCTTTTATGATAGCCCTGGTATCTTTCAGAACAGGAGTGGGAAACTGACAATCCATCCAAACGTTGAGTGAGAACGACTCTCATAATAGCTGGTGACTGGCCATCCTTGCTGTGACAAACAACATCTGGAGGTCCATGGATTTATCACTCTCCTTTAGTGGACTAAACAAAAGCTAAAAGTAGACTAAACAAATGAAGGAGAAAATGAACCTTTACTTTCTAAAGGGCAAGACAGAATTAAACAGAAAGATAAGAACAGTAACTTTAGGAAAAAAACATCTCCACTTACAAATTTACTTTTCTGGGGTAACCGAGGCCCACCCTCTTCTCCTGGCTCTGAACGTTCCTTCTTTTCTTTTTTAGATAGCTGAGAACGTTGCTGTTCCATTCTCTCTTTCTCCAATTTCTTCTGTTTTTCTCTCTCCATCTTTTCTAAGCCCTCACGTATCCAAGCAGGTAGAGTTCGGCGTTTAACTGCATCTAAAGAATCACAAAAGAAGACAATCTCCTGAACAGATTCCCACAGCAGATAATGTTTTCAATTCATTGCAGCTTCACAAATGTATCTCTCTGGGCCAAACCAGATACGTATAGAAGAAATGTATATTTTTATGTATATGAGTTAAGCTGGATCCAAGCTCTGATAAACACGTGGTAGAGAGATGTGTGCCACTTGAAACTGTTTCCCCTGCCTGGTTTGGCCCACTTGGAAAAGCAGCTAGGAAAAGGGGGATCAATCCAGATCCTGCTCATGCTTTCCTGGACATTTTTTCTTCTTAGTGAGGCTCAAGAGACCTGAATCCATCTGCATCATTTGCCCAACCTCTAACGACAAAGGCGTATTATAGTGAATATGCTGAAAACATACCGATCTGAGGAGGCTCCTGCTTTACAGGCAAAGTGATGGGAGAACGCTGGCGATCTCTGAATGCTGGCCGTTCCCTTCTATTTTGCGGGGGAGCAGGAGGTGCTGGAGGCCCTGGGGGCCCTGGTGGACCAGGCTGCCAGTAAGGCGGATGAAACCCACCTTGGGGTGGACCAAAAGTTGCCCCATGCTGAAAGAGTAATGGAGTTCATTTTCCTTCACATCAATGCCACGCCCTCCCTAACTTTGCAAAAGGTAAGCTGGGGAGAACAGGAAGTCAAGCACACAGAAAACCGCACCGCCTCTTACAAAATGTTTTGTGTTTTCTATTAAGGATCTCAATGTTCCACATTTTGAGTTAGATGCATTAGCTGGGGACCCAGAGCAACTTCATAAGCAGGCAGAATGGGAGTTTAGCCTTTTCAAACTAGAATCCCATCACGTCACAAAACTGGTTTTTGAAAGACCACTTGGTCTAAAAGCAGTTTATAATGCAGCACTGAAGCCTGCTAGTCAAGAAGTACAAGCTCAAAGCATCCATAGAAGCAAGTATTTGAGGCGCTAGCTAATTTTTTAAATAATGACATTGAAATATTCCTTATGCTTCAATTCTTTCTACTGTAGTTAATCCTGAAGAGGAAAGGGGAATGCAGACATTAATTCTAATGAGCATAGTGCTTAGACTTTTTGAACTATAACTGAGGTATCATCCAGTTATAGCAAGTACCATCCTATGCAGGTTTATGTGCCTGAAATCAAACTGTCAACTGATTTCCAAGCAGAATGTACTTGGGCACTTTAAATGAGTTCATTATAGCATATTATATGCGATCCAAATCATTTCTCAGAAAACTGATGAGCTATTGAACATCAATAAAAATAAATAACTTATATGAATGAAACACGTTTTTAATAAAATATTATGCATACCAATTGTTTTTTTAAGTAACCGTGTTAGTCTGTTTCAGTGTGAAGTAAGAAAATGTTGGGATAGGGGAAATGAAAGGATCCGAGTCTAAAGATGGCTGAGAATAATCCACTCCTTTAGATGCCCTGGTAGAGTTAACTGAGTTAATAGCCATAGCAGCTCATGCCAAAATAAACCAGGTGGTCTTAAAGGTGCTGATGTTAATGAAGCACAATAATGTCAAGGCATAGAAAGATATCAAGATTGATCCACAAAGATGGGAAAACAAAATCATCACTGCTGGGGAGCATATCTGTAATCACAAGGATAATGCTTTTTGTTTCAAACTATATCAATTTTGCGAGTGAAATAGAAAGTATGACATATTACACACAAAGCAGAGGAGAGACTTCGGGGTTCCAGACCCGATACTATATTTTGCTACTTGTTGTTTGATATGGTTTTGAGAGTGAATGGTGTTGCCAAATAGGAGATTGTTGGATCTGGAAGGGCATGAACTAAGGTTTGAATAGCATGGGTCTTATGATACAGTAAAGTTAAAGTTAACATTTTCTTAGAAATGCCTTACTAAGAATATGGAATAGATAAAAATCAAGATCAACCCAAAATGGGTTTAATCACAAAACATTTTATAGGAAAGAAACAACATTCAAAAAAGAGTCCTTGACTTATCAGGATATTTTCGAATCTGATTATGAAAAATACTGAAATAAGTCAAATGAAGACCTATTAATAGGAGACCATCAATTTTAGTAGAAATGTTATAAACAAAGAGTTCAATTATTTAAAATAAAAGAAAAATCAAGATTTCATACAGTTGTGTACTGATGAACACTGGACCGGTAAAATAAGCAAACTTTTTAAAAAATGGACATGGAAGAACAAGTTAAAGATTGTATGATAAAGTGGGTACAACATTTTGGAGATAGCATAGTTGGAACAACGGAATAAACTATGGCAGAAAGGAATGATATTTATATTTTGGTATTATTTGAAAGAGGATTTTTATAAGATGATGTACCAGTGGTCTCTGACACCAGAAAAAAATGATTAAAATGCATAAATAAGTTTTTTATGTAACAGGAGGGATCTTTTTATGATATGTGGTGGACTTGTTAAAAGGCCAAGAAATTCTAGAGTCAAAAAAGCAGTATAATGCAAAAAGCCCTGCAAGTTAATTTTTAAATGACACCTGGATAACATTTGCTGGAATCTATGGAAAAATAAACAGAAAAGAAATGTTGAAATTACTATGATACAAGGCTACTGTAGAAAGAGAAGTGGAAGAACGGTTGCTGAAACTGTGGTACTTAATTGTAATGCTCAAACTGACAACTTGGATTTAGAAAAATCATTGGTTTTTTTCTGAATGACTGGAAGCATTAATAAATGTTTACCAAAAAAGTGAGAATAACTACTTGTGTGTTAAAAATTTAGCTGAAAAATCTGCCACATACACTAAAGCTTGCAGTCTTTTAAAATGAAAGCAAATTAAAACAGCTAAAATTAAAATTAAACCACAAAAATAAACTGCTCTATTAACAATTACTTATTAGGCAAAAAGGTTCAAGAATGATAATAATTTACTTCACATCTGACAGCTGAATGCTTGACTTCATCTCTAAAAAGCCGGTCATAGTGGCAGTTCATGAAAACGTAGACAAACTTAACTGGCATTGAAATGAACTGAGCTCTTGACACCTACTTTCTTAATTAGAGAAGAAAGCTACATTTAAAAGTCCACAGAGCCTCACAAACAGGCATAGAGGCTGTGCACGTTTTCCTTTCATCTATATGCCCAAAGAAATGCATACAGCAGCGCTGCTCCCTCCACTAAAATGAGGGCGCTTCTGTGGGCAGATAAGCTCCCAGCATGCATTGCAGCTCTCTTGTACAGGATATATAGTCAAAGGTCAGTTATGGGATGGAATCTGGCACTACTGTATATTGCTAAATTACACTAATTTCAAAATGGATGAGACACATTTAGTGCGATCTGATTCACTTTTCATCCTCATGGTATACTTCACATCAGGGACAGGCACGTCCAGACCCTGAGCGGGCTGGATCCACAACTGGAAGTGATATTTTTAACAACCAGAAGTAATTTCCAATCATGTGCAGCATCATTTTTGTCTAATTCAGGGTGCCTTCTCAAAGTGCACTTAGGGGCAATACGGTTCCCTAGAGGCTATTTTTAAGCCATAGGGGTGTATTCTGGCTAATTTATTTTAAAAGAAATTCTGGTCTGTGGGAGTCTGGACAGCCTAAGGGCCACATACAACACAGCCCATAGGCTGCACAATTCCCACCCCTTGTTTTACATACACTAAACACAATTGTTTCCAAGAGTAAAAACAGTGGATAAAAAGTCATCTTTATTCAGAGAATAAACCAGTGAGATGGAAACAATCCACTCAATCATCTGGGCTGTTTTCTTTAAAAACACCATTCTTAGTTACAATACCTTTTGCTCATGTTTTCAAACATTCTGTCCTCTCAGATTTATTGATTTTTCTTTTTTACAAAAAGCATATTGCACTGAAGAACAGGGAGTTATTTAAAACACAGATTATGTTGTAGATTCTGTTGAAAACCGGCACTAGAGGAAGGCTTCCACGGAAGGGACTCCACACGTTTACAACACTTAAGCAACAAATGTTTCACCTGATAGTCAAACTGGTTCACTGGCCCCATTGCAAAGTTATCAGGTGGTGGTCCCCCAAAGTTGTGATTATTCTGGTTAAACATATGCCTGTTGTCAGGGGCAAATTCCCCACTGTCCTGACTGTTACTGTCTTCTGATGGAGGAACAATATCCATTGGCCCTGGGGCTGGAGGAATCCATGGTTGATCTGGAGGTGGATGAGGGGGTTGGTGAGGCATGCTCCATTCTGTTTGGATTTAAACAAAACTATGTTAACAACCCACTTTTAACCAGTCAGATTTTCTTTGTTTCCTCTCTCGGGATTACCAAATGTCAAATAACTGATGTAAAACAAGACATATGAATAAACTACAATAAAGCCTCAATGTTTGTGTCATAGTCAGGATAACACTGAGACTCTCGAATTTCTTTACATCAGCTTAACAAACTATCACATCTACCGCTACCAAAAAAGTGCTGTGCTGCATCACCAGAGATAAGCTAAGCAGTAATTGTGAACTCATAAAAGGGTTATGGTGAAAACTAGGGCAGAGAACAGGACTGTCACCTAGAATTAATCCAAATATTATCCCAAGGCCCTGCTTTTACATTAGCACACACTAGTATCATTTTGGCAAGAGACATTCAGGCAGACAACAGAAAGATAAACTTAAACTAGTTTTTCCCAGTATTTAAACAGCTTTTAATCTGTATCATAACACACACACTAGGCACAAGACCTGAGAAGTCCTTTATGCCTCCAGCCTAGGAACATACAATGCAATATCACGTGGAATGCAAAACTTTAAATAGCTTTTGGCCAAGATTAGTTTCCAGTTTCCTTACAAAGGAGATGAACAAGCTGTAAATCTAGGCTTACAGCTAAAACCTGTTGGTAGATAAGGCTAACAGCCCATCACCAAGGAAAGCTGGGATTTATACTGACCACCCCTTATTTGTGAAAGTAGTTTAAAAAGAGCTGCAGTTTCTACTGGCAGTAAATTGTGTTATAGGAAGGGCAGACCATTTGCTCTAGGCTGAAGGCGGCCTATGGTGTTGGGTTGCTGGATGTCCAGAGACTATGTATTTGAAGTTGTGTACACACTGAAGCATATACATTCTCTCTCACACACCCTCCATAAAGCCTACTACAAGTTCCTGGAAAGGAAGTTTAGAAATGGTAAGGCTCAAAAGCAGAAAGAAGTATAACAAAAACAAAAACAAACCTGGCTGCCACATTCTGTTGAAGTTTGGATCACTTTGAAAGTTACCATGGTTGTTTGGGCCTGGCTCCATTCCTTGCATCTCCTGGCCATTTGGCACCATCCCTTGTTGATCCACTACACCCTGCTGACCCGATGCTTCCCGCTGTGCAATCCATGCTTGAGCTAATGCAGCCCAGTCTATTTGGCCTAGAATTAAAACCAGATTTTCAATTTACAGATTTCCATAGCAGAATTGGTGAGATGCAATCCCATGAAAACATCTCCTTCATTACACGAAAACAATAGAAGTTCTAATGCTAAGTGCCCATCCAGGGTATACCACTGGTGTTCTTAACATGATTTGCCCACTTACTCTGGGACTACAGAAGACCACACTCTGACTTTTACCATTTGTCAGAAGGCAAAGGCCACTCCCTTAGAATAGTGCACTGGGAAGTCGGCAGACCAGCTGGATCACATTCAGCAGCCAGAGAAGGCACCATTACAAGAGGCTTCCTTCTGTCTTGCCTATGAGAATGTTTAACTTATGAACTAGTGTGTCCGTTTGTTTGTTTCCCTACCTCTTTTGTAATTAATCCCTTCTCCTTTATATGTGTTTTACACTCTAGGCCTGAGGAGGTATTAATGATGGTAAAAATTCTTTAAATAATAACTGGAAGTACTAAAATACTTCATAACTAATCTATTGTCTCCCTTATACACATGAATGATACTTCAAATAATCTCTAGATATACAGTACCTGACAAATGCAATCCTTTGAAAATTTACACAGGAAGAAACCCCATTAAACAAAGGGGGAAATCTCGATGGTTTTACATCTTAAAGCATTTTATTATCATATGCTGTTGATAATTCAGCTTCAATCCTCCAAAATGTGATCAATTAAAATGTTGTATTCATTAAGCTGCTACAATGCTTTCTGCTTCTAACACTGGAGTGAAACAACACAAGTACTCTCCTGGAAACGGCTGCAGTCAATCAATGTCCAAATAAAACTGTTAGTTCCCAAAAAGGCAACAGAATATGGAAACTTGGTGGTCCAACACTTACATAAATTACAAAAATTGAGTAGGTCTACTTTAAATGGGACTAAATCAGATTCTAGCTCAAATCTTATTGCACTACAATTATAACACCTTGATATGATTACAGTGGCCACTATACCCATACTTTTAAAAAAGAAACAAGGGATACAGACAGAGACTAGAGCACCACCTAGAAAAACCGGAAATCAATGTATTACACCAGGATTAAACATGGGTCTGAAAGTGTGGAAGGCTACTTCACCAAATGGAGGATTCCCATCAGCAGAGACGGCTTTATTTCTCCATTTTAATCTAATGGATATTTATGAGCCAAAGACAATGATCACTCTGTGGAAAGATTTTAACAATCCTAGTATATATATATAACATGGTTGAGTCTTAGTAAGTTTTGAAATATTTACCTTTGCTTTATCACAGATAATTTGGGTTGCTTTTGTTTTTCAAATCAACTGATTAAATCTTCCATTTTGACTGACACATGTGAAGACTTCTAAATTCACTAATTCTGCCCCAGTCCTAACCATTATTAATCATGCAGAGACAAGACAACAGAAAAACCCTAGTATGCTTTCACGGGATCTAGAAAATCCAGCAGATGTAGATCTCCAAGCAAGCATAGGAAGAAGGAGGGAAGCAATGTGTGGAAAGAAAATGCCCATAAATCATGTACTGCAAAAGTGTGCCTTCAGTAATTCTTCTAATATTTGACAGCTTTAGTATACTCAGGAATTGAAGTCTATACTTTTTGTGCATTTTCTTATTCCAATTTATTGATAGCCATGGTACACAAATGATAGAACATAACAGAAAGATGCTGCAGTGGAATGTAGCACATGCACCAATCTAGCAAAATTTATGATCTAAAGGACCAGTTGGAAATAGATCATAGTTTGTTTGTTTTTTAAAAACAATGATTCATAACAATAACTGTACAAATTACAAGATATTCCTTATACAAATGCAGTAAGATGAAAATCAAAAGGTTACAAACACTAAGGAGATTAGATATATAATTTGTTATGCTGGTATATTTTTAGTTCAACAGTATAATTTCTTTAAGACTGATGACAGATTAGTGCCCTAGATTAATTCCTAACAGGCTACTATGTTGGCTTTTGTCTAGAAAGCCCTATTTCCGCTATTTACTTACTTGGATCTTGCTGGTGCTGAAAGGACTGCATCCACTGCTGTTGATTCAAAGGCCACTGTTGCCAAGGCTGCCCACCTTGATCCCACATCTTTAGTTCTTTATATTTTCTATATTTAATAAAAAATAACATTGCATTTTGAGTTGAGGCTTCATATGTTCTGCAGCATTCAACTGTATAAAGCCACATTCAAAAGACACTCAAAGTGAAGCATTATGAAGGAAAAATATATTGTGCTTTAATAAATGAAAGAAAAAATGCCAAATTGCATGTAAAACCTTTTAGTTTAAAGAAGCCACGAGTTATAGAAGAACCACCCAGAATATACCAACAATAACCATCATATAAGTTACCACTACAAGCATCCCAATGTATGGACAAATGTTGCACAAATACCCTCTCTTTCAAATAAACACATCAATAAGGGAACTGCTCTGCAAATGCCTTGATCAAGATTATGGAAATAAGTGTATTGTATTCCACATACAAGCTCACAGAACAAGAAAGAACGAAATGCCCAGTCACAACCTAAACAAATATAGGGTTATTCTACTGAAATATTAACTGCTACCAGCCCTATTGTCCTCAGTTTAGAAATTCTACAGTTTTGTATTGCCTCAAATGACAAAGGGATCTGAAACATGTCAGATCCATTTCCGAAACAGAAATATCCAACTGAAAGCCTCTGATTCGTTAAGGGATAACAAACACAGGTATTTCTGAATGCAAGAAGACCACTATAAATCCTGAGATTAATCCTAATTAACATGCATAAAAGCCGTATCACTCCCCTCCCCCAAAAACCATTTTAATTAACATACAATTCCTTATTCAATTTAGAACAACAAAAACATCACATGGATACTCYGAAACAGTTCTGTCAGTTTTTAAAACAATAGCTCTCCCATCCCAATGTGACTCAGTTTGAAAACAGAAAACAATTGAAAACCAAAAGCTGGGATGGGGGGGGGGGGAGGCTTTTTAAAACAAATATTTTGTATTCTCACAAATACAGACATCTTTGGAATTATTAAATATGGCTGCATTTCTTAAAATGCTATGCATGTGCCCATAAACATACTTAAAGAAACAAAATTTCAAAAATAGGTTCCAAAATAGACTTGTTGGACCAGGTCCTCCATGCTAGTCCAGTCACCATAGATGTCATCATCTGAAACCCTTTGTCAGGTAACCTCCTTGCCTAAGTTAAATCGCAACCAGTGTGGGCATCTCCCTGCAGAATTTAATCCCCAAGGAACCTCAACCGATGCAACCATTTCCCCCACCCACTCCCAAACAAGCTATTTAATCTTTTGTTAGTATTGGTGGCTTATTATTCTTTAAGCTGTTATTTTTATTTTTGTCTTTAGTATTTCCTGGGGGACGGGGACGGGACTGCTGTAAGAATGGGAAGGCAACATATTTTGGTTGCTGCCATGTCAGCCTGAGAGAACATAGCCAACACAGAGAGATGGCAGGAACTACAAGTGAAGCACATTTGGTGCCAAAAATGTGCCTACTCCAGCCGGCTATATTAGGCAAATATAAAATTTACATACACTAGCATAATTATTAGTTTGATTTATCAGGCTAGTCAACTGGAGAAAGTAATTTACTGGACTGTACTTAGTGTCCCTTGAAAAGTCTGTACAGCTTGTCTTCTATCGTGTTTCCAAAAGGTTACTGACAAGAAGTGTAATTATTTTTCTGATGACATTAGACTGAAAATCTGGGAATCCACTAACATCCCAGCTATTCATGTAAGTTTAGACTTGTATTCACTATAGGATTTGATACTATTTTTTGCATGAAACAGAAGATACAACTGTTAATTCTATGGACACACCTGAAAAGCAACCCTATTATCTATTTCCATATGCATCTTTTAAAAGAGGACATTCTCTAAATTACATGTTTTGACTTATTTTCTTCAGCATTATTACTGTTTCCATATATTGGAAACTTTGTTTCCAAAAGCATTCTAGCTTCTACTACAACATTAATGTAGTTTTCAGTCTCCTTGGCTTTTATTCCTTTTACTTAAAAAATTAAGCTATATACCATCCAAGGGTTTTATAAGTGAAGTAACTTTTGTTAGTTTGTTTTCACATGCTGCAACCTGTCAAATAAGGCTTATTTATTTATATTATTCATTGATATTTATTTATATTACTCATTTGTATCCTTTCTTTCTCCCAATAATGGAACCAAAGGCAGTTAACATGTTCAAAACAACAAACAATAGGAAGGCATTAATGAAAGTATAAATATAAATAACTTACATGATTTCTTAAGTTAAAACTATCAACATTCAGATAATTAAAATTCATTAAATGGCTATATTACAAGCCTTTTACAAAAACACCATACAACATGAATTAAAAAAGACTAGTGATACAAAAATATTTTCATGTGCCAGCAGGACAGCAAGAAAGGGGGCCATCTCTCTTAAGAGGGTTCCGAACTTTAGCAGCTGTCACCAAAAAGACCTTCTTTCCTATTCTCGCCAGACAATCTTAAAGTTTGAATGAAATTTAATAGACTCATATAGACAGGGCAGCAATTGCCTGAATATTGTTAGTACAACAGTAAGTACACAATCCTACAAATGACTAACCCCAAGGTCTTTGAAGAAGTCCCTTCTTCAGTTAAAGAAGCACAGTGACTGGCTAAAGCAGTGGTTCTCAACCTGTGGGTCTACAGGTGTTTTGGACTACAACTCCCAGAAATCCCAGCCAGTTTACCAGTTGTTAGGATTTCTGGGAGTTGAAAGCCAAAACATCTGGGGACCCACAGGTTGAGAACCACTAGGCTAAAAAGAAGGGATTCTTGCCTCAATGGTGGACCCATAAAGGTTCATGTGCTCCAGGAAGGTTCACCTGGCACTACCTTGGTCACTTCTGTATCAGGCAAGGACTCTTATTTCCCAATGCTTGTCAATTACCTGCCCATTGCTTTTATAATGTTAGGTGTTATTAATTTTAAAGGTTTTATATCTATTTAATATTTAATATTTGCAAGTCACCCTGGAAAGCTGTTCAGTAATGAAACATAAATCAAGAATATAACTCCATGTATGTAACTAAATCAGGATCTAGATCTATCTGGAAAACTAGTGACCAGATTCAGTTACAGGCCCCATTTACACTGACCATTTAATGCAGTTTCAAACTGGTATACAGATGATTACGTACACAGATGCACACTAAAGGCTTTCTTTTTGCACACTTTTGTGAGAGTTTGTTATTTGGCTGCAGCAGTTTGAGGTTAGCTTTGAACTGCATTAAATGGTCAGTGTAGATAGGGCTTTAGATATCCTTAAAGCAGATCTCCTGAAATCACTGGTATTTAATTGAGCTAATGCTAAGCTATAACTGTTTCTATGAATCTATTCTAAGCACAATTAAACCCAATGTTTCCTATTGACAAAAATATCAATTTAACCATGAATATACAATCATAAAGAAATGCAGCCTACACTATCCTGATGTCTTCGCCTAAAATTCTCATTATTGCCAACCCAGATATTAATTCCAAGCATTTAGAATATTTATTTATTTATTTATTTATTTCAAGTACTTCTACCCCCGCCCTTCTCAATCCCCTAGAGGTGACTCAGCTACTTTAAGCCTAAATATCCCTTATAATTTTTTACAAACTCTAATACAATAGCCTGTCTATTCACAATTAAGCTTGATAATGTTTCCAGCAAGAAGCCAGGGACATCCATCACTGCTTTAACAAATGGCCTTTCTCAAAGTATTCTACTACTATAAAAAAAATGAATGTACGTGAATTAGCTGAAGACGCAGGATTCTGGTCAACTGTAAACTTGAATGTGAACTATTTTGATGCCCAAAATACTTTCCAGAAATATTTCTGCTTGAACTAATTTTATCAGCCAGATTTAAAAGGTCATTTAAAGTCAGAGCTACCTCACTTTCAGAGTATTTCAACTGGATATCCTGCTCCTACTGCATTTTTCATTCCAATTAGTCATCATAAACTTTTGGAAGTAATGGGATAGGAGCTAAAACAAGCATTTAGTGGGTAGTATTGTGCAAAGAATGCTGGGAGTATTTCCAGTGACGTTTTCAAGGTTTCAGTATATGTTTTAGTATTAATGATCAAAAGAACTCTGTGTTACAATGCCAATCAACACAAAGTTATAATAAAGAGTGAATATGCCAGTCTTTTGGGAATTCAAAACATTTCATAAATGCCCCCAAATGATGCAGAAAGGTATACATGGTTACAAGACCTGTAATTTTCTGGGGGAGAAATCCAGTGCATAATTTTTCTGCAAAAAATATTAAAATGCCTCAGGAAGTTAACTAGTAGCAACGAATATAAGCAAATGTAAATGTTAGGCAAGTTTGGCAGCTTCCAAGCTGCAATGAATGTTTTAGGTAGGTATTCCTATGGAATTTGGATGAGAGTACACATGTTTTATTCTTTTATAAACAAGGATAAAATAAAACCACAATGACATATAATAAATTAAAACTGATGGAATTACAAACTATGAGGAGGAAGTGGAATGTAGAAGTAGATATTGTTACATGTAAATGTTTACAACTAGCCTAATTAAAATAATGTACATATAAAGTACATTAGAACTATTTGAATATAAAATATTTAAATAACATTTTGGCTTTATTTCCTAATAATTTTTTTACTGGTAATCAACTTTTGGAAGTTTATTTTGCAAGCATAAAGAAGAAGCAGGTGTAAATCAAACCATAATTTGTTTGGAGAAAATACTCCATTTCATTTTTCCCCCAGAAAGCCCTCATCACCTGCTTTGATAGCATTTTAAGATGTTAGGCAATGTTATTGACCATTTAAATTATACTATTAATATACATGGCACCTCAGAAAACTTCATCAGGAAGAGATATACAAGCAGTCCCCAAGTTACGAAAAAGATACGTTCTGTAGGTTCATTCTTACGTTGAATGTGTATGTAGGTCGAAACTGGTTCCCTTTAAAGTGTAATTCCAGTCTATCTAACTATCTAAGTTTTGGATAGAATAGGGAAGGGTTTACACGCCTGTGATGCTTGTTTTGCTGTCTGTGCCCCTGTTGAGATTATTTCACTTCACTTTCTGCCCCTCTGATAACTGTATTTTGAAAAATTTGGCTTGTATGGAAACAAGGATTGATGCTAAAGCTTCAGTGGAGACACCTTTTCCTCAAGATAACTCTTTCAGGGGTGATTCTCTCTTCCAAGGGGTAGATTTCTCTCACTTCCTGTTGTCTCACCCCTGTTCTTAACTATGAGATGTTTGTAAACTGAATGTTTATATCTTGGGGACTGCCCACAGTAGTCTGCCCCAATAAATTTGCAATCTAATATACCAAATCTATTCCACACTCTTTCTTCTGTTGCTTACAAATATGAAATGGTTTTAAATTACTCTTTTCCATGAATTTTTTAAACTCAGCATACTCAAACCAGAAAAGTCTGAGAATGTCAACTGTGAGTTCACTGGTTCAAATCCTACTGCCAAAAACTTGGTGCACAGCATTAGGCAAATCATTAAAACCTTTTCATTTCACTTAGTACACATTTTTTCTAGCATGATACATATGGTTGCAAATACTATCAGCATTTTTTTTGTATTTTATTTACATGCCATCCCTCTTTCATCTTAGAATTATTAGTGAAGTACAAGAGATTCTCAGATTACTCAGATACTCATGGACCCCAGGCTTGATTAACTTCAATCAAGTGGATACATTATGTGCCTTCAGAACATGGTCCAATGTAAGACTCATTTAGGGCTGCTGTAAAGAGCATTGTTGTCTTCTCTTACATTCTGTTAACAAATCTCCACGTAGTTGGGATAAAATTTTCAACCAATTTTTTTCTGTACAAAAATGATGAAATTCCAACAAAGGCAAGCCAGGATATTGCTAGAATGTTACAGAATCGTAGAGCTAGAAGAGAACACAAGGGCCATCCAGTTCAATCCTCTGCTATGCAGGAATGTGCAATATAGAATCTTTTTCAGGGCTAAAGAAATAACTCATTGCCTCATTCAGTTTTTTTTTTAAAAAAGAATATTTAACTGCAATCTGTAAACAGGACTTAAAACCTAGTTAAGATTCCTAGTTGTCAGCATCAACTTTTAGCCATTTAGGCCCCAGAGAACGGAGGTCTTTTTACAACCTCACTTTGCTAAATCTCATGAGATTTTCCCCCACTGTTTCAGTTCTAATATTTTAAAAATCTTTTCAATATCCCAATTTTCAAAAATTTTGAAAGTGGAAAATCAATAATACCGATGTACCATGTCCTTTCCTTGGGATCAAAATACATGAACTTAGGCTTCAAAGGAGGCATGCAAGCTAAAGCAACACAACTCCTAAGTACAACTATGTGCCCTTCCACACAGCCCTATATCCCAAAATATCAAGGCAAGAAATCCCACAATATCTGCTTTGAACTGGGTTATCTAAGTCCATACTCAGATAATATAGGATTTCTTGCCCTGATATTCTGAGATATAGGGCTGTGTGGAAGGGCTCTATGAAATTTGGATGATTTCACTGGTCCACCAAAAGACTTCACATATTCTGTAGTGAGCAGATCAGGAAAATGATTTGCTTCATACTGTTATTTTTAGAAATAAACCCTCAGGCTCATCACTCTCACTCAAGTCTTATCTATTTCAGAAAAATGAAGTGAGATTGAAACAGGAAAAATCATATGAATGGTGGCTTGAGCTACTGTCAACAAACATGTATGTTTTTTTAAAAAAAAACGGCAATAATTTAAGCAATACACACCATTGTACAGCTCTAACCTAGTGCATTTTAAAGCTATCTGATGTAAAGAACAGGGATCTCCCTCCCCCCAAATGCATCAGAGACCATGGGATCCCATTATGTATATGCATAATGAATAAATAAATAAATAAATAAGGTCTTCCTAATGCTTAAGTGGAACCTTTTCCTTGCAGCTTGAAGCCATTGCTCTATAACCTGGAGCACTTCCAGATGGGCCCTATATCACAGGATCCGATCCCAGGTTTTTTGCATTAATCTCCACTGCCAGATTATCTGGGATAAACAGAAAACCTGGGATCAGATCCTGGGACATACTACGGACTGTATGGAAGCACCCCTAGCCTCCAGAGCAGCAGCAAACAAGATTGTCCCCTCTTCAATCCTTTCAAATATTTAAACATGGCTAGCATGTCATATAAGCTAAACATAAAGCTCACAAAACCGTTGTGCGTGTTTATTTAGAAATAAACCTCCAGCACAGCTTACTTTTGAACAGACACACAGGACCAGATTCCAATAGGGACAACACTGCAGCTTGAAACCAAAATACAGGTTGAATATTCTTTCTCCAGAATCGAGCCTGCAAAACACAAGAAAATCTATACCAAGGATGGGAAAACTTGGGCCCTCCCTCCGGGTGTTTTGGACTTCAACTCCCACAATTCCATTGTAAGAGTTCAAGTCCAAAACACCCGGAGGGAGGGCCCAAGCTTGCCCATGCCTGATCTATACAAACTGTTCCAAGAACAGCTTTGGGGGAAGAACCCTGTACGATTCCGGACCAGTTTACCTGTACGAATGTATTTTCCCCTATGAACCATCAAGAGTGTCAAGATGGTCTGGAGAGGCCCTGTTCTTGGTCCCGCCATCTTCGCAGGCGCGTCTGGTGGGGACRAGAGACAGGGCCTTTTCTGTGGTGGCCTCTCGGCTATGGAATTCCCTCCCAWATGAAATTAGATCTGGCCCCTCCCTCCTCACCTTTAGGAAGCTAGTRAAAACCTGGCTGTGCAACAAAGGACTTTGACGATGGACAGGAATTGACTAAGTGGAATGGAATTATGGAACTCTGAAAGATGAACGCTGAGCATGAGATTAGTTTTACTGATTGTGTTATGTACCGATTGTTTTTAACTGTGATAATTGTTTTAACTGCTGTTTTGTACGTATGTGTATTTTGTGTAGGCATCGAATTGTGCCTTTTTTTTAAGCCGCCCTGAGTCCCCCCCCCCCGGGGGGGTTGAGAAGGGCGGGGTAGAAGTACTCGAAATAAATAAATAAATAAATAAAAGCTTTTGTGGAATGATGTCTGAGACCGGCAATCGACTAATGGTACTGATCACAATATATGGACTGGACATACGGACTGAGTTCRACACGATTTTATCTTATGTAATTTTATGTAATTTATGTAATGTAATTGGTAACTTAATGTGTATTATGTTTTAGATTTTCAGTGTTATCATTGAGTCTTTGTTGTTAGCCGGCCTGAGTCGGCTAACAACAAAGACTAAATTATAAGTCGCTCGGAGCACCTTGGTGGCGAGCGACTAATTAAGAAATAAAGTGATGATGATGATGAGTCCCTCTGCAGAGGTAGAGAAGATCGGGATATAAAAGTTTTAATTAAATAAATAAGAAACGTAAGAAAATCGAGCCAGGGTTGCTTTAGCAACTTAGGATCAGGCATGTTTGAAAAAGGGTTGTGCATTCACCGCCGCTGCAGCCTGAAGCCGGGCGCCCTTCGAGGCAGAACCGGTGTCACCCGATGTGTTCCATGCAGGCCGGCCTGGAGGGCAGTGGCGCATGCGCAGTACAGGTCCGTCACGGGCCCAGGCCCTTCGGTACTTCGGCTAGGGCAGTGGCGCATGCGCACGAAGGGATGGGGTGGAATCGAGGGGTCTGCCCCTGGTTTCGTGACCAGGAGTCCGCGATGGACGCAACCAGCCACCCGGGGAAGAGGCGTTCTCCTTGGCAGCCATTCTCCAGGCCCAAAGCCACCCGCGCCCCTCCCCCTTCGCCGAGGCCGGCCCCCCAAGAGCGGGGAAGAGGCCCAGGCCTCGCCCTCGCCGCCCTTCTCCCCCGAGCCCGACTCACCCCGCCCAGTCCAGTCCTCTCCCGCCGGGCGGTGGGTGACCACTGGCGGCACCGCGACTGCCTCCGTCCCCCGGCCGCCTTTTCGCGAGCCACACAAAATGGCGCCCGCTGGCCCTGCCCCGGAAGAACAACTCGCGTCACCCTGGCCGTTTGCTCTGTCAGACATCTTTGGTAAGGGCACGCGACGTCTCCATGGAAAGGGCAGCACGTTTTTAAATATATATATATATCGGAAGAAGATTCATCGCTTCTCTACACTACAACCAAACAGAGGAGTGGGTGCTTTGGGACAGTCCTCTACCTTTTTCTCTAGCGGCAGGCCCATCTTTGTTAAGGGTCAATGTCAAGTCGTTTCTTTGGGCGCCATGTTAAGTAGGGGCATCGCTGTGGTCTCTGGCTGTGGCGCATGCGCAGTCAAAAGGGGACGGAGGCGTTCCTCTTGCTTAGAATTGAAGATTAAGGCGAGCTTCTCTCCTCCTCTTCCTCCTCCTCACACAAATACGGGATAGAAGCGAATTGTGGGCCCTTCCACAGAATATCAAGGCGGAAAATCCCACAATATCTGCTTTAAACTAGGCTATCTGAGTCTACACTGTCATATATTCTAGTTCAAAGCAGAAAATGGGGGGTTTCATTCAGTTGTGTGGAAGGGGCCTCAGAAAATTAAGGCAGAAAATCCCACAATATCTGCTTTGAAGTGGAATATGGCAGTGTGGACTCAGGGCCCTTCCACTCAGCCATATAACCCAGGATATCAAAGCAGAAAATCATTTGAACTGGTTTATCTGAGTCCACATTGCCATATATTCCAGTTCAAAGCAGATAATCTGGGATTTTATTCAGCTGTATGGAAGAGGTCAGTGTCACACGAAAGAAAAATGTACACATTGCAATCTTACATACTCTAATCAGAAAGTCACACTTATTTTTTTGTGCAGTTTACTACTAATACGTGTGCAGGAGCTAGTAGCCTCGTTTCAGGAAATGAGTTTAATTAATTTGGGTTGTATTCAATCCCCTCGTTTGGCTTTTATTAGGGATGTAGTGTTGTACCTTGCTACCTAGTCGCCCCATTAGGGTGTGTCTGCACTTTAGAATTAATGCAGGTGTAGGCTTTTCGACTTAGAAATGGATTGAGCACCACACCCCAGAGTCGGACAAAACTGGACTTTATGTCAGGGGGAAACCGTCACCTTTTATCCCACTTACACGAAGGTCAAAGAAGAAAGTGCAAAATATGGGCTGCAGTGAAACATTAAAAAAACCCAAGATGATGGCAGCCAGACTGATTGAGAACTGGCAGACAGAGGGAGAAAACGTGGAGGCAGTGACAGGCTTTGTATTTCTAGGCGCGAAGATTACTGCAGACTCAGGCTGCAGCCAGGAAATCAGAAGATGTTTACTTCTTGGGAGGAGAGCAATGCCCAATCTCAATAAAATAGTGAAGAGTAGAGACATTACACTGGCAATGAAGGTCTGCATAGGGTTTTTTTTAATCGTGTCAGAAGTGACTTGAGAAACTGCAAGTCACTTCTGATGTGAGAGAATTGACCGTCTGCAGTGACAGTGCCCAGGGGACGTCCGGATGTGTTACCTCCTGTGGGAGGCTTCTCTCATGTCCTCTTTGCATAGTCAAAGCAGTGATATTCCCAGTAGTAACCTTTGGATGCAAGAGCTGGACCATAAGGAAGGCTGAGCGAAAGTAGATGCTTTTGAACTGTGGTGTTGGAGGAAAATTCTGAAAGTGCCTTGGATCGCAAGAAGATCCAACCAGTCCATACTTCAGGAAATAAAACCCAGCTGCTCACTGGAGGGAAGGATATTAGAGGCAAAGACGAAATACTTTGGCCACATAATGAGAAGACAGGAAAGCTTGGAGAAAATAATGATGCTGGGGAAAATGGAAGGAAAAAGGAAGAGGGGCCAACCAAGGGCAAGATGGATGGATGGCATCCTTGAAGTGACTGGCTTGAGCTTGAAGGAGCTGGGGGTGGTGACAGCTGACAGGGAGCTCTGGCATGGGCTGGTTCATGAGGTCACGAAGAGTCAAGAGCGATTGAATGAATAAACAACAGACTCCACTTCAACTGCCATGGCTCAATGTTATGCAATCGTGGGCAGTTGTAGTTTGGTGAGGCGTCAGCCCTCTTTGGAAGCGAAAGACCAAGACCTTGTAGAATGATTCCATAGCATTTGAACCATAGCAGTTAAAGTGATGTCAAACTTCATTAATTCTACCATGTAGATCAGGAATGGGCAAACTTGGGCCCTCCAGGTGTTTTGGACTAACTCTTAGGCTGTTAGGAATTGTGGAAGTTGAAATCCAAAACACCTGGAGGGTCGAAGTTTGCCCATGCCTGGAGTAGATGCAAAAGGGATTGACTGCTGAGTTAAGACACATAGGATAGGTTTTCATTGCTTTATGGTGTTTGTTTTCTTACTATTTTCATTTCATTTCTTTGTATAGTATTTATTTTTTTACATTTGGCCTCCCTTATCTGTGGATTCAACCAGACATATGCCATGCAAAAAGTATTTCAGCCTTTCATTTTGTCAATTTATAGAAGAAACACCAATTTATTATGTTGTTTTATATAATGGGACTTGAATATCCATAGATGTTGGCATCCATAGGGGAGTGCCCTGGCAGAAGATATGGAGGTCCCACTATTTTATTTATTTATTTATTTTAAAATTGTATTTCTGGTGTTATTTCTTCTGTTATTTTATTCTAGTCTTCTCTCATAGCCCTTTTCTAATGTGGGAGGACAGAGCATCTGCATGTGTTCTGAGCTGCTGGACATGTGATCCAGCTCCTTGCATCAATTATAACAATCTCAGAACGATCTTAGGTTCCTTCTATACTGCAATATAAAATCCAGATTATTTGCTTTGAACTGGATTTTATGGCACTGTAAACTCATATAATCCAGTTCAAAGCAGATAATATGGATTGTCTGCTTTGATAATTTGGATTATATGGCAGTGCAGAAAATGCCTGACTCGGCATTCTTTCTGGATCTCTTTACCTCACTGAAAGAAATTTGGGCTTTCTCTGCTTTGCTACGTCATGGTTTGTGAAAAAGAACATACTTTTTTGGTGTGAATACAGAATTAACATGAAATAATACCCCAACAGCAAAAAATGTTTTGTTATTACGAATTTCTTTTAAACTGTACTTAGGAAATATTTGGAATATGGCAAAATTCTTGCAACTCTCAACAGTATTTTGGCTTTTGACTATCAATAGCAAGATGATGCTACAATTATTTTTTATTGCAAAAGGACTGCTATAGATTAGTGTGAAAAAGGCTAGGATGAAAAGTCAGAAAAGAACTGCACAGTCAGCTTTCTACATATACACATATCACTTTTGCAGATCTGCTTATTTGCTTATTCATTTGATTAATGTTTTCTCTAGATACTCTGACACGACTCTATGGTCAACTTCCACTATGATGTTGTTCTAGAGGACCTAGAGATTTTTACAAAGATCTTCTAGCATGATTCTTTGATAACGTCCAGAAGAAGTGGACTATGATGTTGCCTTTGAGGATCTAGAGCAGGCATGGGCAAACGTTGGCCCTCCAGGTGTCTTGGATTTCAACAATCAGCTGTTAGGAATTGTGGGAATTGAAGTCCAAGATACCTGGAGGGTTGAAGGTTGCCCATGCCTGATCTAAAGATTTCTAGAGAGGTATTATCTCAGGTTTACTAAAAATAGTACTTTGACCCACTTTTACGGGGCTGCTGCTCCACTAATGTCAGCAATGTGATGGGCTGACTATAAATATTTGATCAGGGGACATTAGATGCTCCATAAAGATGGAATGAACTTTTGAAATGGACATTGGGCAAATTATGTTCTTGACTTTAATTTATTTTCTGTAAAAATATATAAATAAAAACATTAAGAACTGTACTTGTGGTCACCCCTGCCTGTTTGATCCCAAAGGCAAGTTATACAGGACAGGATCCTTCACCTTGATGTGTGGATTCAACCACACACAAATAATGTGTGTGTCTCGTGAGACACACACATTATTTATAAAATACATAATTAATGGGTTGAAATTAATTTTGAAAATTTCTTTTAGGGGCATTGTAAAATAAGCCACTTTCCAGCCAATATTAAGATAACGTCAATTAACGAAATTTATGTAAATGAGGCAATCAGGAGAAAAGACAAGAATCCAAAGAGTAGAACTACATATTTATCTTACAAATAGGACTTACATTTTCCTTTAAATAAATGTATATATAACATTTCCCTAAACATGTACACTGACCTCATATTTTATGCTGAAAGAACAAAAATAGCATATTTATCTTTGCATCCACAATTAAATATATTTAGCAATCAGCTTCAAATTTTGCCCCAAGTCTACTATTTCTATTGATGTTTTTATACATTTTATATAAAGTATTTGTAAAAATACAATAGGTTTATTTATCACACAAAGTAAATTCTGTTTGCATTTCTATTTGCTAATCATCATGAAAGAATGATGGTCTTTGCAACTTTTTGTATCATTCATTACCTGCCAATATATTGTCATTAAATATAATTGAACTGTATAGCAACTGAAGTACTGTAGAAAATCTATTTTAAAATGTTTTCTGTGGCTTCTTTGATAAAGTATTACCTTGCCACGTCAGTTTGTCTCTTTTCTTGTGAAGAAAAAAATGCATTTTCATCTTTTAATAAGGCAATAGAATTTACATATGTAAAACAAAACATTGATTTTAATATATTTTAAAAAAAAGTTAAATTGCAATACTTTCGTCTAAGTCATGAGAATGTCCCTATGATGTTGATTTAAAAATTGACAGATAACTAGGTATAATAAAACAGTTACAAACCAACCACTGAGTTATAGAAAAGCTTTTTAGTAAAACAAATGAATAAATACATATGGGATTTGTTTACTAAGCAGCCAATTGAAAGGATCACACAAGGACTTCAAATCCAAGAAGAGTGACACACAACATTGGAGAACCCTAGCAAACAGAGTTGTGCACACAGTTCCCTCTGGAGTTTTTTTTTTTTTTTTTGCAGGACTGGGAATGCAGGTTAGATCTACCCCTCACTCCTACCAATATCCTTTCA